CGAAGCCTCTTGGATGAGGGGCGAAACGTTTCTTTTTAACAAAAAAAACGAAGTCCAGATGACATGATTCAACCTTTTTTGTTGTGATTTAGCTTCTTCAGCAAATTTCAGCAGTCACTCAGTAGTTGTTATTTACTGCTGACTGATTTATATTGGCCTTGCTTTAACAATAACAACAAAGGTTGTTAATGTTCAGTAGATGCTTCTTTAAGGCTGCTTGTAGCCATTTCTGAAACAAGCTTCTGTAGCGTTATGAAGGTATTTAATCGCATGAATACCAAATGTTTAAATATAATTTCGGTTACCTTGGAGACTGCTTTAACGTGATGCCCTCTTATCGTTGCAGATTTTTCCTCAAACGCCTTGGCCTTCGCCTCTTCAGCCAGGTTGTTCAGGAACAGTACTGTCAGTAGATCAATCTAAGACCAAGTAAACAACAGCTGTGTTGGTTGGTGACTTCAAGCTAACAATGAAAAACTAGCGAGCAATCAGGTTATTTGTGTGTTCACTTACCAAAGCTTCTGACGCGGGTCCGAACTTTACGTTGCCTTTCGCTTTAGTTCTAATAATACTTTTTAGTTTGGGTGTCTTTTTCAGCATTTTGCTTTTGTATTTCGTACGAAAAAAATACTGAAAACGTCTAAAACTGATTACGCTTTCTAATCTCCCGCTTCTCTTAACATCCGGTGCGAATCTTCTTCTTCGTGCTTTTCTTGTTGTTTTGTTGACGTCACAGCCCGTACTGTTTCTTGTTTTGTTGCTTGAGCGGGGACAATTTAATATGTTAATATTTTTTTATTTACACTGACATTAAAAAACAAACTTTATGAAAAAGAAACGGGCGAAAACTGTTAGGTCAAAACGGGACATTTTAATTTAGTATTAATGTTTTTTGGTTGTGCTGCCACCTAGCGGCTCGGTAGGGGTACTGCGTTAGTAAATTCAAATTTCTACTTCCGGGTCATCAGTGCAGTAATGGCGGCCACTGGTGAGAAACAATTCGACATGAATAACATGCTGCAGTTTATGAAACTTATCGGGCAACTCAAAGTAAGACGTATTTTAAAAGTCAGCTATATTTGTAGCGTTTAGTGTCCTTTAAAGACAAAGAATGACTGATGATTCTGCCTTTAAAAGTTTTTGTCTTAACCAGTCACTCAGCACCTTTGAAATGTATTTTATTATGAACAGATACATATGCGGGTTTATTATCAGATATGCGGTATTTTGTACTGTTTCAAGACACACTAATCTCTTCATATAATTTTGTTTCCAAACAAGCAGAATTTCTTGTTATTTTTAAATGATCTTGCTCAAAATTTCTGCAGGTTTTTTGATAGTTTTTCAAAGATTTTCGTTGGACTTAGGCTGCTTTTACAGGCATTTTCAACCCACTTATTGTACCTGAAAGTACATATTAACTGTTTGCTTAAAAAAATAAGAGGACAAGTGGGGGGGGAAAGTGTCTGCTCTGTAAACTTATCCCCATTAGCTGAACAGGATCTCAAAATCATGTATTCAAATACATAGAAAAAAAATCCTGCAGAGACCTGGACATGGTTTTTCTTTGATAACCCTTGTTTACTTTCAGAGGGTGCCTCGGACCGGCTGGGTGTACAGGAAGGTGCAGAAACCAGAGAGTGTGTCTGATCACATGTACCGCATGGCTGTGATGTCTCTGACCATCACTGACCCCACAGTGGACAGAGACAGGTGGGTAGAAGTTCACTTATAGAGAGGAGTCATTTATCCGCACAGCTCATAGTGTGTTTGTCCTCAGGTGCATAAGAATGGCTCTGGTCCACGATATGGCAGAGTGCATTGTGGGAGACATTGCTCCATCGGACAACGTCAGTAAGGAAGAGAAGCACAGAAGAGAGGACGCAAGTTACCTGCAGCTTCCAACAGTTTAACGAATCACTGCTTTATAAGTGAACAAGTACATGAATATAAAGGTTGGCTTGTCTTGATTCTTTCTCAGGAAGCAATGAAACGTATGACAAATCTTCTGCCAGAGGGACTCAAACAGGAAATTTACGCATTGTGGGAGGTATGCTGCTTTGGAGGTCTTTTTTTTTTTTTGCTTATTTTTTATGCAACAAGTCTTTTGAAAGTCTGGACATCTTGTTTGTGTCATTTGTTAAATCGCTCAAACGATAACTGGAATGTTTAGGTGAAACAAGTGTTTGTGTCCCATGCAGGAATTTGAACATCAGACCAGCCCAGAAGCCAGGCTGGTGAAACAGTTTGACCTCCTGGAGATGATCCTGCAGGCTCACGAGTACGAAGAGCTGGAGGGAACACCTGGAAGACTGCAGGAGTTCTTTGACTCTACCAGCGGTACGTTTCCTGGAGCCAATAAACCCGACAGAATGTGACTTTTGTGCATTTGTAAGGTTTAAAGTGAGCCTGCTTTAACTCGAGTTCTTTTTTATTGTTTAGGTCGTTTCCCCCACCCAGATGTTCTGCAGCTGGTCGGCTGTTTAAACGAACAAAGGGGAAGTCACACCACCAGCGGAACAAGGGAACGTGAGGAACCTTTAGGATCTGAACACACAACTTCACACACATCCTGACTGCATGCAAAACACAAAAGCCTGTTGGAGGATGGACTTGGAAACACAAAATGTACAGTGATGCTCTGCCTCTTCCTTCTAATTTTAGGTCATAGTGTTCTAGGTGATCAACAGTCTAGTGTTTTAAGCTACCCTGGTTTTTTTTACCAGCAGACCTAATCTGACCATTTTAAAGATGTATACAACTTCAGAGTAATGTTGAAAAAAAATCTTTGAAAGTTGACATTTTAAAACGGTTCCCGTTATTGCATGCACTGCTTTAAGCAGTACAGCATCATTCAACTGTCAATAAAGATTTGTCAATAATAAAAATAAACCACTGGGAAGTGTTTTACCTCCTGCAGAGGTTCTTGCTTTTGGAATGATTTTTTTGAAAATGTGTGTACCGTTTCTTATTCATTATATTTTTCAAATGGAATCTACTCAAATTATTACATATCAGCAAGCTTTATTGCACATTTCAAATACAATTTTTTGCAATAGACCATTATAATCCAATAGATTTAACATCCAAAGATTACAAAAAGAAGGGAAAATAGTTGCAGCACCACATTTATTTCCTTCTACAAGTGTTAATTTCTAATCATGTTGCAGAATGTGACCAGGACAATCAGAAACTCACTGATACAATCAGATTTAGTCACTTCTGTTGTATCAGACATGATTAGTTTTGTTTAAACCTTTTAATATTTACAGACCAGTCCTAAAATATTTAATCAGGCCATATGATCACACAAGACTATTTGTAGATGTGTGCAAAAAACACCTTTAATAGTTATTTTCCTTCATTCATTCCCCTATAGATGAGACATAATCAAAACATGTTACCCCATTTTAGTGCTTGAATGTTGATGAATAAATACATTTTGAATCCTGGCATCCTTTAAACCTGTAGTGGAGAAAATCTTGAGCACATAAACCACTCGTTACATTTAACAGATGTTACTGTGATAGGAACGTTACAAGGAGTCTCTGCAGATGTTATAAATTAGCAAACAGATCATTTATTGTTTAAGGAAGGTGGTTCTAGCCTCTTGCAGCAAAAAATCAGGAAGTGCAAAAGGAAAGTTAATATTTTACACAAAACATTTAGAATTCAAATGTCATACTTTCTGGAGAGCAGCTCATTCAAACGTGAAGCTGAACTCTCGACTCCCACATCGATAAACAAACGCAAACCAGGAAATCTGTTAAAATGACCGTCATGATGAATAGAAACATGCCTGACATTTAGCCAAGAAATGTAACATTGGTTTCTGTGTTGTGCAAGTCATCTGTAGTTAAATATTGGTGTGTTTTAAACTTTTTTTATTTAAGTAGCAAGCCCTTGAACACAGCTCTATATTTATAACATACAGGAGGAGGAATAATTAACTGCTTAGTTTAAAGGATGTCAGCTGGAATGTTTTTTTTTTCACAATTTGAGAAAACAATCTAAACATGTAGCAATAAACTGATGTTAAATTACAGACCATAAAACCTGTGTTTACTGTAAATTATCTATGTAGACTAACTGAACCCACACATCTGGAGTGTAACAGATAAACCTCTGGAGCACAGAAAGTTTTTGTCTTTGCTTTCAAATTCGACAACAGCTCATTTCATTCATTGGTTGTCTTGTGAGATTCATTTAAGCTCCACGACCTCTCGAGCTTTCAAAACAGAGGAAAAACACGTTATTTTCAATAAACATCAGATCACAGGAACAGTCATGAAAGGAGCTAAGAAACTTTAACAAGATTGTCTTATTGAATAAAAATAATGTGCAACTTCGGTCAGAAAATTCAGTAAAAACAAGAAACCGCTGCGAGTTCCTGCTTTAAAGTCCCGCCTCACGGTGCAGCTCAACACGTCCCCTCGCGGCTGTCCGTCAGGTTTATGGTGGGGGTGTCCTGAGAGCTGGCGTTGGCTGCGGATGAGAGGACGTCCTCGAAGCTGCCTCCAGTCCCCGGACCACCGACTTTAGTCTGGTTAAAGAAACAAAAATAATTTTTTAGTAATAATAATGTGCTACTGTGCTGCAGGTCAAGCTCAAGGGGGCGCACTTTTACAAATCCCATCGGGCTTTAAAAGCTTCCGTGTCAGCAAAATATTCAGCTATAGACTTTCTACTGATCATCCTGATATTTGTGCCCATGACCTGCCCAGCCTTTGACAGCAGATAAAAAATGGAATAATTTAAAACACATTTACAACATGCGTTTTCATAAATGACCGTATGATTTTTGCGATGCTTGACGCCGAGTGTGACAGCTGAGGAGCTAAGAAACACGAACACTTCCCAACACACGAGGATGGACAGATGCAAGTGTTTCATTTACTACAGAAATGTACAATTAAATCAGCTGCAGCTGTGAACTCTCAGTTACAGCTAGCCAAACGATAAATTGTGTTATTCAGTCCAATAATCATCAGATAAATTAGGTCAATTAAACACCCAGGTGCTTAACAGCCCGACACATGACAGCCTGTTGAACTTCATCTTATTTTTTGCCTAAAACCTCTTTATTGCTGGATTTTCTACAACTGTCAAACTAATCTATTTTTCCCCATTCAGAGTGAATCAAAAACTTAAATAGTTTCATAGAAAATAAATCTGTCGAATGAATGGACAGAACTGCTCGGTGCAGCCAGGGGACGAAGAGATTCCATGTCTGCTCTTTGCAGATGACGTGCTCCTGTTGGCATCATCGTGCCGTGATCTCCAACTCTCACTGGAGCGGTTCGCAGCCGAGTGAAGCGGCTGGGATGAGAAGCAGCACCTCCAACTTTGAGGCCATGGTCCTCAGTCGGAACGGGGTGTATTGATCTCTTCATGTCGAGGGTGAGGTTCTGCCTCAAGTCGAGAAGTTCAAGTATCTCTGGGTTTTGTTCCTGAGTGAGTGAAGAACGGAGCGTGAGATTGACAGATTGGTGCAGCGTCTGCAGTATTGCGGACTCTGTGCCAGTCCGTTGTGGTGAAGAGGGAGCTGAGCTGCAAGGCAAAGCTCTCTGTTTACCGGTCGGTCTATGTTCCTACCCTCACCTGTGGTCATGAGCTCTTGGTAGTGACCGAAAAAATGAGATCATGGATACAGGAGGTTGAAATGAGTTTCCTCTGCAGGGTAGCTGGACTCTCTCCCTTAGAGACAGGGTGAGAAGTTCAATTATCTGGCAGTGACTCGGAGTAGAACTGCTGCTCCTCTACATCAAGAGGAGCCAGTTGAGGTAGTTCAGGCATGCCCGACTAAGAGGAGACCCAGCACACACTGGAGAGACTATGGCTCTCGGTTGGCCTGGGAATGCCTTGGAATCCTCCCAGAAGAACTGGAAGAGGTGGTCGTGGAAAGAGATGTCTGGACCTCCCTGCTCATGCTGCTGCCACCGTGACCCAACTTCAGAACAGGCAAAAGGAAATGAATGAATGAACGGAAGGATGGATGGATGGATGTTAAATGAAAAACTGTATTGAGTTATAGCTAATAGATCTACATCTTAACTGAATTTACATCAACAATGGAAAGGACGCAAATGGGTAAATATTGATGTAAAAACAGCATTTATTGCTTGTTACTCTAAATTACAGACTTGTGGGATAAAAGGAACATGTGGCAAAGTAATCGGAATAACAAGAAACCGTTTGATAAGGAAAAATAAAAAGCTTGGAGGTTTTAGAAAAAGCTGACCATCATAGTTTTTATTAACATAAAATCAGCCAAAAAGATAAACATACACGCAAATAAAGTTTACCTTGATTGTGGAAACTGTAGTTTCAACTTTTTCCTCAAAAGACTTGAAGCCGGGAGAGTTTCTGTTAATGAAACAAACAAAATAAATAAATCTTCAACTTTTTAATGAGCGTACAGGTTTTACACTTAATTGTCTAAATGAACCAGAAAGGAACAAATTAATGGTTGAAATATTTAACTGTTGTGACTTAATGTTTTAACTGTGGGTTTAAAAACAGTAAATTATTAACACAGATGGTATACACATAGGTGAGGGGAAGCAGAAATGACAACTGATAACGTGCGTGCGTGTAAACTGGTAACATAAGCAAACAGAAGCACTCAGCGTTGTTACCTCATTGTGGGCATGCTCATCGAGTGTCTGACAGAGTAACTGTCCCCAGAGAGCATGATGGGAAAAGAGGCAATGATTAACAAACATGACACACAAAAGCAACACAGACTGTTAGAAAGAGTGGTTTTTTTATGTTGTGCATGTGCAGAGTTAGCCTCCCAGCTTCTGACAGACCAACTTTCAAAAGTTTACTTAAGCAGGAATAGATTTATTTCACTGGATCTGATTGAAACAAATAAATCACACAGACAAAACGTTTTTACGTCTAGAAAAGTATCAGACAGAGCTACGTTTTGTTTTTAACTTTCAGTGTTTAACAGTAAAAGGGGAAATTAAAGCCAGCATGCTCTTCTGCTTGTTGGCCAGAAGAGCTAAATTTAAATGGCCTCGCTGCATTCAGGGGCATTAAGGAAAGTTCAGGACATCTGTTTCACATGACCAGTAAAAATAATTGATTTAGGAACAAAATCAATTAGCTCTGAAACTGGGCCGAGACGAGCTCGAGTCCACGTCGTAGATTATCAGAGACATCTGCTCAACTAAAACAACCAGCTGCACCGTTCTTACCCTATGGAGTTGGACCTTTGGAGGCATAGAGGGAGACGGAGAACACTTTTAGATACTTTTACAACACTTTGGACAAAGCACAAACAATGTTACACATTTTTCAAATTCTCTCCGGTCAAAGCAGTGAAGCTGGCAACACAAAACTTTCACAACAAAAAGCAGATGCTTTGGAAACTGGAAGAAGGTTTATGACATGTTCACAGTCTTGTCGAAAACGTTCCACTAAAGATAAAAACACACAAAGCAGGAGTGAAGAGACAGCAGCTTAAAGAGAAGCAACACAAGATTCAATAAAACAGAAACGAGGAATCATTGGTTCGATGTCGAGTTAAACACAAAACAGAGTTTTGAAAAAGAAAAACGTGAACATTAGTTTAAAGGCCCCCCACATACTGTGCGTACTGCGCGCGTACTGTCCGCACACGGTTGAGACTTCATACTCGAGCGTATGCTGTCATTTCCCGACCCAAACCTGAAATTCGGGCCAGGCCAAAATAATGTGCTTAATGGGTGGCCCGGGTCGGTGTCAGGCTTTTGATTGCATCAGTGGACACACGCACGGCTGATGGTCCAATTTGGATCACCACCAGCCGCTGACCGGCCGGTTGAAAGAGGTACAAAAAAGTCCAGAAGGATCAATGCCAGCAACCCGCCTGCGGCTTAACTGGACCCAGCCGCTGCGTCAGCAGACGTGCACGGCTGACGACCATTAATAACTATAATATAACTGACTCGTTAATAAACAAGACATCTTATATCCTCCTATCTTTGAAATACATTTTTAAATCATGCCAAACTGATTTGCTTACAAAAGCAGTAAAAGCTTAATTAAAAGAAAAAAGTTTTTTTTTTTTTTTTTTTCAGATTTGTGTCTGTAGTTGTTAATTGGTCGGTTTCGGGTCACGCTCGGCAAAAATGATACGAGTTTGGTCCCGGCCGGGTCGGATTTTTTAAGCAGAATGCAACTCTAGTACAGATTGCCTAAAATTCTCTCGTGACAAATTCCTTAATTTCTCACAATTTCAGTCAAGGCGTCATTGGACAAGGAGGTAGATATCTCTTGCCTCTTAGCTTAGCTTTAAAAAAATATATATACATATAAAATATATATAGAAAAGAAATTGAGATATTCTTTAAAAAAAATAAAAAGAAAAAGAAGGTGGTACATAAGGCCATTAAAGCAGACCAGGGATAAAGGAGGGGAATTTAATACACTGGTGAAGGACATGAAGACGATGGACAGGGAGAAACATTTTGAATATTTTCAAATGGATTCTAACGAGTTCGATGAGCTAGTTGGACGCTTCACCACCAGGGCACACCTGTCAGCGCTGCACAGAGAGCGGCAGTCACGCTGCGGTTGGCGTCGCATACACAACAGTTTGATGTCAACACCGTTTCTCACTGGGCAGTTTATTGTGCGACAGTCATAAAAATGTATCTTTGTGCGGACATGGCCGGCGGACGTCCACTTCGAGTCCACCTCGAGTACGCGTGGACCTTCGCGGAGTGAAGTACGCCCTGGTACGTAGGGTTGCATCCCGCTCACTACAGGAAACTCTTCATATAATCTCTTCATGTTAATATCAACACATTTACTTAAATAACGTTCATCTCTCGAGGTCATTTTCATGTCGTCTCGGACATTTTGTGTTAGATGCAAAGCCTTTCATCTTCTTCTAACACTGAAACATTTCTATAATATTTACAGGAAAAGCTCTGAATGTTGGAGAAAGATCCAGAAATGATACAACTCCATTTCCAAAAGTGTTGGGAGGTTGTGTAAATGTAAAATAAATAAAACTAAATCATACAGTGATTTGCAATTCTAATAACTTTTATTCACATGGAATACAGTAAACATATCAAATGTTTCAACAAAATAAATTGTACAAATGTCAGGAAAAAAAAGGTCATTTTGAATTTTATGGCAGCAACAAGTCTTAAAAACGTTGGGGCGTGGTCATGTTTTCTCCTCTGAGCATCTCCTCGTCTGTTACCACCACTCTGTAAACATCTAGGATCTGAGGAGAGCATCTGCTGCAGGTTTTGGATCAATTGTCCCATTTTTGTCAGATGTACCATTCTAGCAGAGTCTTTGATGTTACGCTGAATGGAAGCACATGTTGTTTTAAAACCTGTATACACTGTTAATCATTGATGGTTTCTTTCCAGATGTGTAATCTGCTCGTGAAATAGACACTAATGCACCCCCATACCATCAGAGAGGCAGTTTGAACCGTTTGTTGACAACAGGCTAGATACTCCCCCTCTGCTTTAGTACAGAGGACTTGGTGGTTAGAAGATTGCAGAATTTCTGGATGGTGTTCACATATGGCTACTTTTTTGCACGATAGAGCTTTAACCAGTATTTGTGGCTGGCACCATGAACTGCATAGACGGACAATGATTTGGAGACGTGCTCCTGAGCACAGTGGTGTCTGAAGCTCACGGGCATCCAGTATCAACTTTCAGCCTCGTTCGTTGAACTTCTCCAGACTCTGGAAATGTTTTGATAATCTAAACTGGAAATGATGGGATATTCAACCAGTTCCCAGTTTTCCCACTATTTTTAGATGCATTTTTCCCCATTAGACTGGTGAACTTCTGCCCATTTTTACTTCAGAGAGATCCAGCCTTTCTGAAATTCTCTTCGTATTCAGTCTTACCGACCTGTCACCAATTAACTCAGTTTGTTACAAAATGCTCCTCCACCTGTTTCTTATTCATGCCACTTACTTTTACAACCTTATGTTGACCCTGTTCCAACTTTTTTAAATGACCCTTTCCCCCCCACAAAATAGTACAATTTCTTAATTTAAACATTTGTTGCGTTTACTTTGGTGCATTGTGAATAATAACATGCAACAGTAATATGGGTTGATGAGACTCACAAATCATTGAATTCTGTTTTTAATTTGCATTTTACACAACTTTGTCAGAAATGAAGTTGTAAATTATGATACAGTTTATTCAGTACAAGCTGTATGTATGTATTTTGGAGGAAGTGAACAAAAGAAAGGTTCAAAAAAGTTTGAAGAATCCCATGCAGTGATGTGAACATGCCTCCTCAAACCACACTAAAACAAACGGTGGAAACATACCTGCGTGGAAACAGTAACTCTAGACCAGCCACGCTACAATACAGCAACGATTGAATTAAGTTCCTGTCTTTGGATAATTAAGACAACTCTTTCACACAGTGTTCAATAAGAATCATAACCCATGCTTTTTTTCTCATTTGAAACATGATTTAATCAGAATCACAGCTGTGAGACGGCACTCACGAGTTTCCACCAACATGGTGGTGAAATTTCCATTTTTGTTCTTTTAGGTTTGTCTGCTGCCTTCACACCATTTTATGGATCAAATACAAAGTCAGGCTGGTCTGTATGTTTATGATCTGTATGGTTTAACTCCTATTCTAATCAAGCTTATGATGCATTTGATGATGTTTCTTCTCTGCCACCTCTGTCTTGTTCCTCATTTTGTTTTTCTTTAATATACCCCCTCTGGGCTACTTGATACAGTTAGGTGTTTTATCATGGTTATATTAACAATTATCAAATGTCCGTAAAACATGGTGATTGTACACATCATCAGTCTACACAATCGATTGGTTAAAGTTAGAAACAGGATGTCTTTGAGCTTCCTTCAGTTAAATCAGAGTAAAACTGAAGTGGAGCTTTTAGCCCCAAATCAGGTTTATAATCTCCAGTCTCTTTCTTTTCTAGCAGAACACTAAAAACAATAAGTGAAGTTTGATAAACATGTTCAATCTGCAGTTCAGTCCAGTTACTTTCACCTGGAAATACAGCCAAAATACGCCCTCTGTCATCAACATTAGCAGCTGCAATTTATGCTTTTGTGTTGTCACACTTGGATTATTGCATCTTCCTTATTCTTGTTTAAACTAACACACGTTGTTGCAAAACTTATCTGCAAATCCCCATTTTGTCCTACAACACCTCATATTTTTGCATTGGCTTCCTATAAAACTCAGGATTTGATCCGATCTCCTCCTCCTTATCTATAAAGCAATAAGTGTTTTAATTTATAGTTATATTTATATTTGATTAAAGCAACATATACGAGTGGTTTCTTTCAGTCATCTTTGTTCACTGATCTTTAAAACCTTCTCTTTTGTCAGAATGAACGAGGTCACCCACTCTCTTGTCTTTTATCTTCATGGACAACAAATTCTCAATTTTTTCCACACACACAACACAACGCAGGCACACAGCCGCTCTCGTGTTTTTATTTTCAGCGTCTCGAACAAAACAGCTCAGTCTGCTGTCGATGAGAACAGAGGAAGAGTGTGCGGGAGGACGGGCTTTGCCACGAGCCTTTCAGCTAGCTCAGAAAGCAGCTTAATGTTGGATTACATAATCCCACGCTCCCCTGATCTGTTAAAGCAAGAGCTACAACTCTGGTCTCTGATGCAGAGACAATGGAGCGGATAAAGAAACGTAATTAGATTTTAAAATAGCGAGCTAATTCAGGTGGTGGGTGAACCAGGTAAAACTGGTTTAGCCATGGAAATTCATTATGGATATGTAATGGCAAATTATTTTTAAATCAAGACTGTGAGCCCAAATTACTTAAAAAACCTGAAATAAATAAAGAAATAAGTTATCTAGACATTTCAAGTTAATTGTTTTTTTTCGGCGGCACCCTTCTTCAGGGGTCGCCGCAGCAAACTAACTCATACGAAGACTTGGAAATTGTTTTTACGCCGGATGTCCTTCCTGACTCAACCACAGACCACCGAGCTACCACAGCCCTCTGTGTGGAGCAGAGAGCTGCTGTCTAGGGCGCCTGAGGGAGCAGATGGTGGGGGTGAAGGGCTTTGCTCAAGCGCCCAGAGTGGGGGTGTGGGTGCTTCACCTTTCCCACCCACATTTTGATGTCAGTACAGGGAGTTGAATCGGCGACCTTCCGATCATACGTCCACCTTCTCTAACCTCTGTGCCACCACACTCCTTTTAAAGTTTCAAGTTAATAGAGAATATAATTTCCTTTAAATAGTTTGGAGTTTGTCTCGGAATGAAAGATGACACTTTGTTATTTCTGAGTAAATCTATTTTTGTTAATTTGATGGATTCGGTCCTATTTATTTTAGCTTTATACCCCAAGGGTCACAAATATAGCCAAAAGAACCGTATTTTGATAGATATGTCTTTTACACGCTAAAAAATCAATTCTTTGGAAAAATGCAAATAGCCCAAGTGTTACATTTTGGATCAGATAAATGTTGGCAACTTCTCCTCTGGAGAGAGTAACATCCCGTATTTTTCAGACTATAAGGCGCACTTAATATCCTTTAATTTTCTCAAAAATCAACAGTGAGCCTAATAATCCGGTGCACCTTATGTATTAATTCTGGTTGTGCTTACTGACCTCAAACCGACGTTATGCGGTACACGGCGCTCAAAAATCTGACAAAATGTTTTTGTTTCGCTTAATGCACCTTATAATCTGGTGCTCCTTATAGTCTGAAAAATACGGCACATACAAAAAGGGAAGCAGGTGCAGTTTGAGGAGGCTTGGGCTTCATTTTACTTGTTTGTTAAAATGCAAAACTTAGTGAAATATAAGGCTGGTGTGACCCTGATAAATAAGATACATGGAAATTAAGACTTTTTGTAAGTGTGAACTGTTAAAAAGTTTGTACATAAATATGTATATATCTGAGAATGTTTTTTATTTTTGTTATGTTTGCTTGCGTGTTGGTTCTATTGTTCCACTGGGTGCCGTTTGACCCAACCGGTTTGGATCATACATTAAGAAATGGAACATAGACTTGGACTAAAGAAGCGTGGCTTGTATATATGCATGTGTAAATACGTGTATACACGTATACATCTTTATTGCAACTGAAAGCCCAGCAAATGCATACACTGTTCCTATGTAAATTCACAACAAAAATATTTAAAGTTTAAAAAAAAATCTACTTTTGTTTTATTATGAAATAAAAAATGAGGCTCTTCAAATATTAAATCTGGAAATTGCAGAACAAAAAAAAAACTACAGATGGTATTATAAAAACAAAAATAATATGATATTGAGAAATGATTCAAAATGCTCAAATTATACATACAGTAAAAAAAAGTTGTCACAAATATAATTTTAGGAACATTTTCAACATTACACCACTGAGGCCAGCAGAAATGAGTGAAAACTACATGGATGTGTTAGACTTGAAGCACTGATCAGTACTGTGAAGGAGCTCTCCTCTAAAAATCCAATTTTTATTCCTCTTTTCTGACAGAGCTAACGTTTCTTCCACTAATCTTTATCTAAACTCCATCTGTTAATCCACGAGGCATAAAACACAGCAAGCAGCCGTGTGTGAGGCCCATCACATTTATACAGAACACTTTTTCTCCATTAAATTTCACCTTAACCTTAAATTCTTTTAACATGTTGTTATAAAAATAAAGATATTTTTAAAACAGATGTGAAATTATTGTTTACCTCATGTCTCCTAGCTTCCTGGTGATGGCGCTGCCGAGGTTACTGAAGGCAGCTGTGGTTTTCTGTCCAGCTGTGGACAATGTCTCCGACGTCTTTTTGTACCTGTAAAGTGCACAGAAACAAATGTCGAGGATTTAACATGAGGTTATTCAGTCTGAGTGCAGCTCACCTCCATATGAGTATGCAATTATCATTCAAAGCATTTACAGAGGATGAGACAACTTGTTTTTAAATATCGGGGCTTTCAGATGCAGATCGTCAAGTCAAAGTAGATTCTAAGCTGTTTTAATTATCTACATAAACAGCACACGTACGGACATGACCTTAATTTCATTTTTAAATCCCAAATTCATCCTGTGGAAAAAAAAAAGAAGAAAGAAGCTATTTGAAATAAATTCCAGTTCACATCTTTTGTTTTCATTATGTTAGTGTGTGGGTTTGTATTGACATGTGGATCAGATACAGCCACTTTAACCAATCACACGCCAGCGTCACCCCAGAGCTCACTCTCCTGTGGTCACACTGGTTCATTATAGATGAGGACGGAGGCTGAGTGTGTAAAATGATCCTCAGAATAAAGTAACTGGATAAGAAAAGAAGCCTTTAGAGAATATCTGCTTGCTCACTTCTGTCTCTTGGTGTCTGGGTGAAAACTCAGCTCTGACCATCCAATTGGCAAATTTGATTTTCTGCAGACTGAACGAGTCAAACATAAAGAGTAACTTTTTCCTGAAGTTCACAGATATTATATCATGACAGAAGAAAATGAGGAGTCGGGGGAATGTGGGTTTATCACCAATATTATTGCAATATCAAACAATAATATTGCACATGATAAGTTTTTAAAACATTGCGCAGCTCTAATAAACATTACTGCTCCTCTCGGCTCCACCGTACATGCACAGAATGGTCATTCGTGATGCAATCTGTGATTCATCGCAGAGAATGACATGACGACTTGTTGCCAGTCCATACCTCTTTGGTTTTGGTCCCCCTCTAAATACAGCTGTCCAGTGCTGATGGTGGCCTACACACAGGATGGTGAACCCACGGTTCATCTGATGCTGCTTGTTGAGGTACATGATGACTCAGGATGTTTTAAAGTTTAATTTCTGGCACAAATGTCACGAGGTTGTGTCATGCTGCACAATACAACAATCCCCCCTCGATGTGGTCTGTCTTGAGCAACTGAAACCTTCATATCCGGCTGCCTTCAGGTACCCATCGGTTCTAACACTGACCCACTCTGACATCTGTACGCCTACATGTTGAGAGATTACTTCATGTAACCGATCGTTCTCATGCAAACCCACAACGTGACCAATGTCAAGCATCTTAATATGCTCAGAATGCTGTTTAATGCGTCTGCGATGCATTCTCTGTATCTGATGACCATTGTTGACTGAGTGCTGGGTAGAGTGGTCATGTCTAACCCGGGCCTAAAGCCTGGCCCAAATTTTGGCCAGGCCGGGCCATAATAATGTGCTGGATGGGCGGGTCAGGTCGGTGTCGGGCTTTTGATTGCATCAGTGGATCAGCCGCGATCTAATTATATGGAAATATGGCTTGCCATACCTGCACCAGCTGCATGCGGCCATTTCACTGCGAGCTGACCGGCCTTGAAAGAGGTAAAATAAAATTCAGTTAAGCTTCAGATGGGGCTACACTGCCAAGAAGTGATCCATCGCCCAATGAACGTTCATTCAGCCGATGCACTCAACGGACGCTCGCAACCGACAACCCAAACAAGTGAGATCCCAAAGCAGACATGTCAGAGCGGGGCCCATGTCTGAATAATGCAGAATGCAGCAGAAGCAGGTACTTCATGTGCTTTGACAGACATGAAAGGACAAACACCCCCTCAGCTCCGATCTTCTGCTCCCTTAGCCGAACGCGTCTGCCGACCGTTACTAACTATATAAGCAGTCAAAACTTAATTAAAAATGTCAACGGGGGGCGTTTCGGGTTCGGACCTGTAATTAATTCGTCAGGTCAGGTGGGGTTCGGAAATGATGGCTACAGGCTGGGGTCGGATCAGATTTTTTGGGCCAGAATGCAATTCTGCTGTTGGGTGCCCTAGTCTAGCCTGATAACACTATCCCTCTGCTCATGATGCCACTACTTTAAAGTGTGCCCTCAGGTGCTCGTTTCAGATGTGCCAGCTTCTTGCAAATTAAATTATTTACAAATCCATCCCTGGTCTGGACATGGACCATATTATGTCTCAATCGGTCCGTTTTTCAGAGTGGTTAGCCTTTTTATTTAAAATACCCACTCAGTTTATTAGTCATCTTTTACAGAGTGGGTAATGTGGACAAAAGAGAATCAGCAAATGCAAAAGAACACAAAAAGTCGTTCCTGTTGTAGGAAACTGACATTTACCACAAACATTTTGTTCGATTGCATATAATATAAGCTAATTGTGTTCTGAGCTCAGACTGCCTTAAGTGATGTTTCAAAAAATACATTTATGTTGTCTGTTTCAGTGAGCACAATAACTGCATGCATGCTGTGCAGCTGCTAGCTGAGGTTTGTGTCATTTAGTTGTGTGGATGTTTATGAAGCATTCACACCATTGTGATCCATTTTTCTTCCATACGTTTTTCAGCATCTTTCTCCTTCCACCATTTTTGTGCCATTTCAACAAATCATAAATCAAATCGTTCAGTTTGTTCAGGACAATCCTGCTATGACTTCTGGTATTGGTGCAGCTTTTTGAAATATTTACCATTTTCTTTCTCATAGAAAATGAATTGAACTCATGTTGCCTCCTTCAAATCTTAAGACCCGTTTACAACCTTTTACCGCTTCTTTCACATTTTGTTCTGATTCAGCTTCTTTCAGCTTCCTTGTGCATATTTAAACTTTTTTCAGCTACTTTCAGCTGGTTTTCCAGTTGTTTTATGCTCCTTTCAGGTTCTTTCTGCTAACTACAACATTTTTGTGCTTCTTCTAACTAATCTGCTAATTTCAGTTTATTATGCTGCATTCAGTTTATTTCAATAAGTTTCATCTTATTCTGCTATTTCAACTACGATTTAGCTGTTTTATGCTAATTTTAGCTTTTTCAGCTAATTCCACATTTTATTGCACTCATTTCTATTTTTTTCAGCCTAATTCAGCAAAAATATGCTCTCTACTTCCTTCTGGAAGTTTAAGCTTCTTTCTGCCTTTTCAGCCACTTTTCAGCTGTTTCTTTGCTAATTTCATATTTTTTTTCTGGATAATTTCCACTTTTTTGTGCTCATCTCTGCTTCTTACAGACTAATTGGGCAAACATGTTCTTTCTCCTTTCTTGTGTTAATGTAAGCTTGTTCTAACTTTTCGGCTATGTTTTTTTGGTTTGCTTTTTTTTTTTAAGCTAATTTCAGTTGTTTTCAGATGAATTCAAGTTTTTCACAGTCGTTTTTGCTATTTTCAACCAAATTTTTGGCAATTTAAGCATATTATGTTTTTTTCAGCTAATTTCAGCTTTATCTGATTCTGATCACTATTTAGCTGCTTTTATGCTAATTTTAGGTTTTTCAGCTAATTCCACCTTTTTGGAGCTCATTTCAACTCTTGCCACTTCTTTCTGATAGTTTAAGTTTCTTTCCGCCTTTTCAGCTTTTTTGTTGCTAATTTCAGCATTGTCTTTCAGCTCATTTTCCAATTTTTGTGCTCATTTCTTCAAATTTAAGCGTAATTCAGCAAATATATGTTCTTTCTGCTTTTTTCTGCTAATTTAGGTTTGTTCTTCCATTCAGCTACAATTCCGCATGTTTTTTAGATTTATTTTTTATCTAATTTTAGCTGTTTTTCAGCAAGTTCTTCAGCAATAAGCATTCACACTGCATTTTAGCAGGAAATGCAATTTCTCTAGATGCCTTTGAGTTCAGTATTTGTGACACTCGCATTAGATTGTGAGTTCACTCTGGAAGTCGAGGAGAATGACCTCTTTCTGTTTTTACTTTGTGTCCTACAAAGGGCATTTATGTTGACAGGAAACAGAGAAGCTATTCAGCTATGTGCTGCAGCAACACACAGATGAATGCAAGCACTCAAACTCTAAAATATCTCACAAGCTTCATGTTTTTGCCCGGGAACTTACGCTGTGGAGCTCTGCATGTCCTGCCAGCCTCTGCTGAAGTTGGTTTTGAGCTCGCTGAACGGATTGAGGCCCAGCTTCTGTTTGAGCTCTGCGTGCTGCCTCTCTTTGGACGACAACACCTGCTTCAACGTGCTGATCTCCTCTTCCAGCTGAGCGCGCACAGAAAGATGAAGAGTGAACCAAAATAATTTATACATTAAATGTTAGCGTTGTGGTGGCTCGTGTGTGTTTTGTGCACACTTTGGCTAGCTCTTGTTGGATCTCTTCCTTCTCCTCCTCCGTCATGACGGAGTGGTTCAGGTTGACTTCTGACACCAAGTCTTCATCCGCCTCTTTCAGCGGCTCTGAGTCCAAAAAGCCTGTTTGAAAAAACACGTCGTGAAAATAAAAAAGGCTAGAAATTTGCTTTAACGAAATTGTGTGAAGAGTCTTGTCTGCAACTGTTAGAACTACACACATATTGAAACATCTGGGGACATTTTACCAGAAACAGGTGAGGTCAGGTGATTTTCTTGTAAGAGGAACACAGCTTACTTCCAATTTTTACAACTTCCATTCTCTTCAGGTAAACACATTTGCCAAAACAATGCATGTAACATTATCCCACTGCAGCTGATCTGCTGTGTCATCCGTTTTTAACTCAGCCATATCAGAGAGGAAGTACTCCCACTTCGTTTTGCACTTTGCATTCCTTCCTGTACTGCTGACTGTAAAGTGTTTGAGTGCTGCTGTCCATGTCCACACGTCTGTCTGATCATCTCGTCTCCAGTCTGACCATTATGTAATATCTGGCTGCAGCCTGTAGAACTTTAATCTGGTTTAACTGATGTGGATTATCTTGCTTTAACCCAGCTGACCAACACTACCATCTGAAACACAACCCAACACAAACACTATGCGTTCAGGTTTTAAAGGTTAGACTGAATTTCATTTCTTTCAATTTGCAGGGACTAAAATGAATACAAGGGTACTGAGGAAATGAAGTCTAACTTAAACACATAACGTAAGATCCATCTGTTTTGTCTGAATAGGAGACAAAAATGTTATAGAAGATAGAAGATAGTTTTTTTAAAGAAAAACTTTAAATCTCTGTCCCTTCGTCATGGAAAGTAAAATGCCTTTTCTATAATCCTGTGGGATGTTGTAATCTTTGTAGCTTCATACATGTTTGCATCATCTGCATACGTTTAACTCTGACCATCTTTACGTTTGTCAATCGGTAATTTGCCATCAAGAAAAAATTAACAAAAAACACTGTTCCTAAAATGGGACCGTGTGGAACACCCATTTTGTATTTTTGAAAGTTTAACTTCATCTCATTAGCTTGGACACATGGTTGAGGCCAGTGGTGTAGTCTACAGTTTTGTAGTGGGTATACTGTGCTTAGAAACCAAAGTACACTGGTTAGTACAATGGAATTGTCAATTTATTTTGATTTTTAGGCATATTGAACATTTCCAAATTTCTCTGATGCTTATATTTGAATAAATGAATAACAAACTTTGTACAACAGTGGCTTTGTATTAAAAACATGTTATAGAATTTATAAAACAGTATCAAAGCAAAGTGCTGCATACCGATAGATTGTTATGGAAGCGTTTATCTACTGCTTAATGTATAATCAATCAACCTTTATTTATACAGGTAAATCCCATTGAGCCTCGAGGACTCATTTACAAGAGAGACCTGATAAATAATGACACATGCCTAATGATATGTATTACTTTTAAGTGGGTATACTGAAATTCTTAAGCTTTTCTAGTGGTTATACTCCGTATGAACGAGTATCACGTAGACTACACCACTGGTTGAGGCTCATCTTCCTCGGTCCCTGCGTCCTCATATGGCGACATTGGCGCACGTATTCTGTTCAATTTATACCTGCTGTCCTTATTCAGGTATGTTTGTTTTTAGGTTTTTAATTTTATTATAAAAACATTTTATTTTATTTTATTTGTTTAACATGACTCAAACTTTAAAAATTATACATTATTCAAAAATTCTAAATGCAAACCAACCAAAAGCTGGGGCCTCAGGAGGTTAAATATGAACTGAAGCAGCTCCAACCTTACTTATATCAGCAGCCAGAATCATTTATTCAATAAATAAAATCAAATATGGCCAAAGGAAAGCAAACCGCCTGCTGACATTCAGCCCTCGGGGTATGCATTGTGGATGACTCAACTATCACAATAAGATACAGTATATTTGCTCAATATTTGAAAAACCAAAATGCACTAAAAATGACTGACGTGTAGCGATTTTTAATTTGCTAATGTTGATGAGCTGTGGCTGCCAGGTTGCATCAGTGGACTCAAAATGTTAACCAGCTGCAGATGTACATCCAGTGATGACTTCCTGAAAGTTTCATCGAAATCTGTCAGGTGTTTCACAAGATTTTTTGTTAACAGACAATCACATGACTGCCATGAAAGACAATTCAATTCAATTCAGTTTATTTATATAGCACCAAGTCACGACAGAAGTCGTCTCGGAGCACTGAACAGAAACATTTGCACACAGAAAGCCAGCAGATTGTGTTGAAACTTCATTTCATCGCAGTCTCCCATCCTGAGCAAGCACAAAGGCAACAGTGGAAAGGAAAAACTAAATTTTAACAGGAAGAAACCTCCAGCAGAACCAGGCTCAGGACGAGCAATACAGATCTGAACTGCTTCCTCCAGGTGGGGCGGATCACTCTGTACTTTTCTTTTTAACCAATATAAACGGCACACTTACAGATGCACACACTTAAAAACTATGATGATTGAGGATATTTTAAAGGTTAATCTGAGAGAATTTTACATTAATGAACAAAGCTACTGTACCTGCAGTAAAGTGTCCTCTTTCTTCATGAGGCAGCATTTCAAGACACATTAGGAGAAATGAGGTGAGAAAAAACTTTCTTTAAAACTGAAGGTTAAAGGTGGCCGAGCACCTCAAGCAGCTAAAACACTCGCATGCAGCTCAAAGCACTTGACCCAGCATGCGATGGTTCACATCAAGATGGCCATTTCTAAGATAAGGAGCTTTTTCAGCTAACAGCAGGAGGACAATGAGACTTTTAAAGCCCTGCAGCTCAAACAGATGCTTTTCACGTCTGACTCGAGTATTTGTTTACTCGACACAGCCACGAGGTGTAAAAAATCTAAATAAGGACGGAGTGGTGCGGTCTCCTGGTTTTTGAGGTTCGAAGGATTTTCTTATTTTTATATAGTTTCTAAAATTTGAGAAGTACAAATCGCATCAGGAAAAGGTTGATCCCAACAGCTGCAGGCTCACATTTTCACAAAAACTAGCCCTTCTCTTAAAATAATGCGTGAAGTTTGATTTACTCAAGCTGCCAACTCAGAAGACTTTCTTTAACCTAACACAATCCTGTTTTTCATTTAGAGAGTATTTAATAAAAAATATTAATGTCTTATTGTTTTACAACAGAAAAAAAAAATCCTTAAAATCCCAGTAAGATTGTACAAAACAAGCTTTTGTACTTGCTGATGCAGAATCTGGTGGATGTAATCTAGAGAACTTCAAGATGGTTTTTGTGCGTGTGTTTAATCAGGTGTAACATCCAGATTTAAGTTTGAACAAGTATTGTGTAAAAACAAATAAATAAGAAGACATTTAAATTAAAATAGGCCAATTATTTGTGCTAGTCGCAATGCTTCTGAAAACAGAAGAGACCTCTTTTGAAACGTGTTTGATGCTGAATCTTTTAAAGTTTAGGATCACCTATAAAATCTTCGCATTCCATTTAAAATCAAAAATACACACAAAAAAAAATTCTTACAAATGTTAATTCTGTTTTCAAAGTGTCCACGTGCTCTGTTGCGTGGAAAATAAAAAAAGAGCCTTAAAATGGTCCAGTTTCTGTCTCAGAGGACATTTAATGTTGCTTTTATTCTCAATTGCGATGCAATAAGCTAAATATTCTACATCAGCTAAGCATCTACCTTTGGTTGAACACGTAACACACTTTGGATTCCTTAAACTACGCTTAGAAATAAAACACCTTATCTTTTTGTATTTTTTCTTGTTCTGTTCGTTTGCAGCCAATCCACGTTAATGAAAGCACAATCTACATCGGTAAAAAGAAAATACTGGCATACAGAATACTTTTTTAAACCACTTATTGATTTTAAAAAGAACAATCCGCTCATAACATTAATGAAATTATTATAACCGCAACATAAATTATGGAATTTATTCTGTCTGATACAATGTGTGGGTTTGTCGTCCTAATGGGACTTGGATGTTTAGATGTTCAACCAAAGTCATCTGTCATCGCTCTAGCCTACTTCCTGTTTCACCTGAGCTGTCCAGCTGCATGTCCCAAGTGGTGGACATGACCCAGTTGTCAGACTGGACCCATTGATCCTCGCCTCGCGACGAGGTTTTACCCCCACCTGTTCGAGTTTCCCCATTTTGGACCAACGGAGCCAAGTCCTCCTCATGTGAGATCCGTCCAATTGATTCCTCACCAGAGGAGTAAAACCTTTTCAAACCTGAACAAAGTCACAGTTTAATGAATTTTAGGTTCAGTAAAGAAAACAAAAAACAAGATTTATTTAAATTTACCTGGTAGGGACAAAAAAAAAAAAAAGATCTGAACCTAAAAAACGATGTTTGTCATGCTTCTTTTTTTTAATAAATAAAACATGACACTTCCTGATGGGAGTGATTCTTCAGAAAACAGAAATCAATGAGCTCTTCTGTTCAGAGAAAAACCCACAACATCTACAACTACAAGGCAATTTACTTGAGATTAGGGATGCACAATATTAGATTTTTGGCCGATATCCGATACAAATACCAATAACTATATATTTTTTCCTAGACCTACTTACAAAGACTACAAAGCTTTCTCTGCTGTATAATTAATATACTACATTATTCTGCATGGTCTTTGTTAATTTGGCTTGCTACCAAATGCAGATGCCCAAATAGGGGGCTGAAAATGATGCAACACTTCAACTTGGATTATGTTTAATGTAAATTAATTCATGACATTTACTCTAACACTTCTTGAGATGGTTAATTAGGTTCAAAGTGTTGTAGGACTTCATTTTCGCTCCTCCTCGCGTCACAGACACTGAGCAGTCATTGCAAAGAGCAGTTCTGCTATCAGTTTCCAACACTTTAAAAAACTCCCACACTGCCGACATTTGCACTCCTTCCTCTCCCGCTGTGATCAGATCAGGTAGGCGCACGTGACATCATGACGTTGTGCTGACTGAAGGCATCCTTGTCACGGGTTGTCATACAAAAACAGCACTAATATATATATATATATACAGCGCCTTTTATATTGGTGAGTTATTTTGGTGGAATGGCCGATGTACGATATTTAACTTTATCGCTAATATCGGCCAATACCGATACGCTAATAATATCGTGCATCCCTAGTTGAGATGTTTGAATTTGCTTCACAAATTCCAAAATAAAATGTGGAGTACCTCTAAAACTATACCAAGGTAAAAGATGCTCTCCAGCACGCACCGTAACAAACATAATGTGCCACTTCTGGGTAATACCAGATGGCTAGGCCTCAGACTGACGAAGCCTCTTGGATGAGGGGCGAAACGTTTCTTTTTAACAAAAAAACGAAGTCCCGATGACATGATTCAACCTTTTTTGTTGTTATATACCTGGATGACTGAGAAAACAAACTTTGTGTAATGTGCCACTTGTTCCTGCGACGAGCCTTTTCAATGCAAAAGCGACACTACAGTAGAGTATGTACCACCATAAAACTTAACAAATGCATCTCTTTGTGTCACACTGCAGCCTAAAAGACATAAAGATCAATAATAATCTTAGAGGATTATGTTATGTAAAGATCAAGTTGCAGTTATGATGCAACGTTGTCTGATTTATTTGAGATTTAACACCATTTTGCTTAGGATTTATGAAATCCTTTAAGATCAAGCATTTAAGTCAGTGTGATGCACTTTATTTCACGTTGCAAACAGGTTGATCTGTTTAGTTTCTTTCTGAACAGATTATGTGCACAAATTAAGCAGTCACAGCCAACGAGATGTTTATTAAGTGTATGGCTGCAACATTTTAGTCTAAATCAGTGGAAACATGACACAAAACAAAAACAAAACGTGAGACAGTTTGGCTGATGGCTGGTCATGACCAGTGAAGCTGAAAAACAACAGGTTAATTTCTCACTGGTGGACATTTTTTTAGTCATGGTAATGCTGACATAAATACTTTATTGCATAGTTTTAGTCTTTAAGTGCATTCGTTCAGACTCTGCGTCTGAGTACCACAGTAATAGATGTTTGGCATTTTGTTTATTTTATATTTTTACATTGAAAGATCTGATTCAGTTCTGATGCTTTTGGTTTTGCATGAAGTCCATGTCTAATTAATTTAGAAAAAAAACCTCCCTAATTTTGGTTTAGAAACAACAACAAGAAAAAAAAAAAGACATAAATGTATGACTTTTTTTGTTTTATAGTAAATTTTCCAGTTGACAAAATCCTAAATTGTCGTCCTGCTACTTTACGTCTTCCTCACTAACAAGAGTGGTTTGTTTTTCTCTCTTTGCTTCTGGGAGCATTACTACAATCTGAAGAAAGTATCATTCAGCATTTGTTTCTTTTTCATGTTGGAGCGAATCGTGGCCCTCACATCTACGAATGTATCAAACCTTGACTTGCACCCCCACGGAATAGTAATATAACAAATGAACGCTTCGTGATTAATCCTTATTCTGCCTCATTGTCTTCCATTTTGTTCACTCCCTCACTCAGTTCACGCTCACTCACTCCTGAGTGTTCATGAAATCCACAGTGAATCACATCAGACGAAAGAAGTGCTGCAGCGTTGATCTCACTTTAGAGGCACTCGTTACACTTTCATTAAGACAGAGACCCCAAATTTCTAAAAGAAATAACATTTGCTATTATTTTTCCTCATCTTAATGGTTACACTCTGTGAACAGGTGGACGCATGAGTTTGTTTATACAGAAATAGCCAAAGTGAATGAAAATGGGTCCTCGATGATGAACCATTTGGGATCAAGAAACTCACTGATTTGGATGTACAGTACAGTAGTCCCTCGCTACTTCGCGGTTCAACTTTTGCGGATTTGCACTTTTGCGGTTTTTCAAAGTAAGATTGCACACGACACACGATTGTCAACTTCAGTATTACTCATGTGATCGGGACAGTACAGTACAGGATACAGTAAAAAGTTTACGAAAAAACTTCTCACAGGCGCCGCCATTTTCTAGTTTTCTCTCAATAAACCTACACTGTATTGCCAGTCAAAAGGACTACATTACCCAGAAGTCAAGGTTGCTTTCTGCTGAAATGGAGGAAAAAAGTTTTGAGCCGATCCAAAAAAGTTAGTGACTTTGGCGTTCAGTGGATGCAGAGCCGTACGGAACCGACTGGGAATTGGACCAGAACCTAACTTCCAGCCTCATCAGTCAATCCGAGTGCCGCTTGCCAGCCCATGAGGTCTCTCGAGCGGGGAGGCGTTGCTTGGAGATCCGGTGTCGTCTCCGGAGCTCACTGGACTTTTTTTCATCTAGATTTGGGCTCGATCAGGACCATAGTGTGGTTTTGTGCTGCCTCTCTGAAGGTCCGGCTCTCTCTAAAAACATCTGGTGCTCAAGGGCTAGAGAGCCGATCAGAACCTGACCAAGGCTGGTGAGTACGGGTTTCTAAAGCCTGATAATTTTAAGGCTTTACTATTCACTCAACTTAAAATTTCAAGTTGAGTGAATAAACATCAAGTTATCTTGAACAATAAACTCTTGCTAAATAAACTTTTGCTTTAGTTTAGTCGATTTAAATTTATTAGTTGACTGAACTGTTTGGGTTTGTTGTTTCAACTCAGAAATCTGTCAATGTAACTTAAGTGTTAAATAAATAAATAAATAAAAATATAGCATTCCTACTTCGCAGTTGTTCACGTATTGCGGGGAGGGTGTGTGTCCAGAATGTAACCCCCACAATAAACGAGGGACTACTGTAATGGTTACCCCATCTCAGGTCAATGTGCAGCTTCCACGTGGTTCTTTGTTTACATCGAGTGCGTACCCTGATTTAAGATCTGCACATTAAATACTCTTGCAAACGGCACCATTTAAAAGGTCAGTACAATGTTTTTTATGTTTAATTTCATAGTTTGCAGCGAGTAGCTTTAAGTTGAACTCAATCAGTGATGCTGCAGCCACTTGTTCTAGTGCTCCAGTGTGGATTTGCTTCCATTTCACGAGGAGAGTTGAGCCTTACCCAGCTCCTCCTCATGTGCAGCTGAGTTAACCCATTCCTCTCCAGGGCCCATGCTGCCCCAGTCCACCACTGCTTCACTCAGAACACTAGAGTACAACTCTGCAGCACAGCAGGGCGGCAGTATGAGAGGAAACAAACAAAAAAAGTGGTTATTTACACACAAACCGAGAGATGTGTTCCTCATGTCCACTCCAGGCCTTTCAGTCACAGTCAGGCACGTTCCACTGCAGTTTATCTTGTGTATTTGCACAGGGAGAGGAGATCCGTTGGTTGTTTAACTTTAAGTTAACTTCCTGAACTCTTCAAACAGGATATACCTGATTCCTGCCACTTGGTTGGGCATACAGGGAACAAATTGGCGCTGCTGAAGATTAGCAAGAAGAACAATCTAGACAGAAAATCTGAGGTCATCGAGGAGTGCATGTTCTCTGGCTGCAGATGAAATCTCATTACGACACACACACTAGGAGGAAACGGGTCAGCAGAGAGCCAGTTTCACTCACAATCACTCCCTTCTAGTTCCACATTTGACCAACGGACTTTAAACTGACTTTATTTTTGGTTTTAGGGAAGCAAAGCTCTGATTTTATTGTATAGTTCGGGTTGTGCAGATATTTAGGTACTGAAACACCTGCTGATCAACATTTGGGAGGATCAGAGCAGATTTAGCTCTAAATTATCAAGATGACTTTCTTCGGCTTTCGAATTTGTTTAATCGTGGAAAAACAACAGCTTTTCTCTTCCCGTCTGCGTTTCATGGGGTGAAATACCTTAGGTCACAAGATTATAGAAATGGCCCAGTGGTCATGAGGATATGCCAAATCAGAGGTCACAAGGCTGGAAAAAAAAATGAAGTAAAACTAAAATGGATGTCAAGCTGATAAGAACCAGCAGCGACGTAAACAATGAACACAGCAGCTAAACTTGACAAACCCAGCTATCATTCTAATGCAGGGCTCAGTTAGTTTCCTTTAATGTACTTCTTTAAAAGTCCAGTGCACATTAATCAATATTCCAAGAATATCAATGTGCCGGATCTCGCACAATAGCTAATTTTCAGCCGGAGCAGATAAAAAAAATAAAGACAGTTCGTAAAACAAGTGGACAAAACAAACGCAACAGCCGATAAAACAACCCAGTCTTACGTGTAAAGCACTGTACACAGCACAGCAGACCAAAGTGCCACATTAAAACACAAGTCAAATAAAACCACGTAATAAAAACGACAAAATGTGTAAAATCTGATCAAACAATAACATTTAAATAAACAATTAAATCGACAAAAATTACGATCAGGTAAATAGATAAAAACAACCTTTTACAAAGTGTTAAAAACCAAAGAAAACAAGTGGGTTTTAAGAAGTTTTTAAAACAGTTAACGACGAGGCCTGTCTGAGATGGAGGGGCAGCTCGTTCCACAGATTAGAAGCCGCTGCAGCAAAAGGTCGATCCCCACCCAGAGCCCCTCAGAAGCAAACGTATTTAAAAAAAATGGATCATAAAACGCACGTGCAGCCAGTGGAGTGAGGATAAAATGGGGGGTGGTGCTCATATTTATGTGTGCCAGTTAAAAGCCTCGCTGCAGCATGTAGGACTCGCTACAGTTGGGCAATGGGGGACCCACTAACCCCTAAACCCCAGATGAAGTGCAGTAATCCAGCCACGTCGTAACAAAGGGCGGATTACTGTCTCAAAATACTGGCATCTCTTTGGAAATGGTGGGTTTTATCTTGGCTAGCTGTCTCAAATGATGAAAGCTTCTTTTAACAACTAACCTGATCTGGTTGTCTCACGGTCAATTTGCTATACTAGGTTAAGGAACCTAGATCTACAGGGGAGGGCCAAGCAGTACCTCCAAAAACCATCACTTCAATCTTGGTTTTGTTAAAACTAGAAAAGTTAAGTGTCATCCAGGACTATGTGTCCACGCCTAAGAAGCGGATCGACGGAATATATGCATTTAACTTTTTAAGGGGGATATAAATCTGTCATCTGCATAACAATTGAATGAAATGTTGTGTTTTCTGAGTGTGGAACCAAAAGGGAGCAAATAAAGAGAAAACAAATGTGGGCCTAAAACTGAGCCTTGAGGGACTCCACAAAGAGAGGAGGATACTGACCCCTCAAGAATAACGGAGACGATTTAGTTTGTCAAATAGGACCTGAAGCATTTTAAGGCAACATCCCCAATGCCCACCTACTCCTACAGACGAGTTAGCAGAACGTCATGGTCCACAGTGTCAAAAGCAGCAGTTAGATAGATCTAAAAGCACAAGGATGACACGGTCACCAGAGTCAGTAGCTAAAAGAATGTCATTAAAAACTTTTAAAAGAGACGATACAGTGCTGTGCAGTTTTAAAACAGAACTGGAAAACCTCGAGCATGCTATGCTCTTCAAGAATGACAAGTAACTGACTGTGCACAACCCATAAAACAAACCACACCAGCATCCCTCTCGATAGTTACACAGTTAAAATAGACCTAGTTAGTAGTTTATTTCATAAATGTGTCCATCTGGTATTTATTCTGGTTTTGTACTTCAGGATAAATAGTTTAAAGGCGGAGGAAGCCTATTAAAAAACCCCAAAAGACTAGAACACGAAGAGGTTGACTGCCTAAGAATTTGATGGTCTTTTCTGAAAACCTTTTTCACAGATTTTTTTGTGAATGTAAAACATTCATGACCAACAAGAGTCTGGAAAAACACCTTTATCTCACTAATGGTGCTCACAAAGAAACCAAGTGACCAGTTCAAGACTTATTCTCCTTACAACATGTCACAGCCAAATTTAACACTTAAAAAAAATAAAAAAGCTGAAAATTTATTGTCCAAACCCCAACACCTACTGAAGTTCTGTCTGTGGAAACTTACAGGAAATGAGATACTGGGGAGCCTGTAAATATCCCGTTAACACCACAACATCCAGTCCAAAACTCTTTATGGACCTCCTCAAACCAACATTTTTAAACTCTCCTTATTTTTATTTTTTTATCAATATAAATGTCTTTAAATTCAAAATAAATAGAATCATCACCCAAACGCGCACATTTTGTTTCGATAAACACAATAATTATCTTGTTTCGTCCACCTGCGTAGTTCTTGCTCTGGAGCTGCAGTCACACATTTTAAGCTCAGCTCGTTAAAAACATTATTTATTTTGGGTGTTTCTGAATCAATAAGTGCGCTCTCACCTTGTTGTTGTCTGGTTTCCATCGGCAACACGCAGCTGAACTTTCCTGCTAACCTTCGGAGACGCACGAGGCTCAGCAGCACGCGCGACACCGCTCAGATCAACAAACGCAGAGCCGGGGAAGCTTTTTTTTTTTCCCTTGGACGTCACGTGCCTGACAAAGCTCGTGGGCGGAGCTTAGAGCAGCAGCCAATAGGCACGCCCGGTTGTAAAAAGACAGATGAGCCATAACATTAAGACCACCATCCAAGAAAGTTCAATCTGGTCCTCTGGACATTCAAAAAAACAAAAAACAAAACAAAGCAAAAAAAAAATGTAGAAACGTTTCGTCTCTCATCCAAGAGACTTCCTCAGTCTGAGGTGCTGTTTTAAGCTCAGTCTCTTAAATAGCACCTTCTCAGAGTGGATCAACCAGTTTGCTGCTGACAACCAAAACCAACTGATCACATGCTCAAGAAGGACCATCAGCCTAACAATGGATCATTAGCACATTGATGGCTGTTTACTGTTCAAAGGGGGTTGAGTGATACTAGCAATCACAGCATTGTAAGAGGGGGACAATTGAACCCGGAGGCCTCCACCCCTGTTTAATGATGGACGGTTTCTTTTCACAAAGATGGCCTACTTTACTCCTCTCTCAAACCATCGTTCCTCTCTGTCCAGGATGTGAACATCTTCATCCTTCATCCACTCATCTCCAGGCCAGCGGTCACTCTTTCAAGGTAGATTTTTCTACCTGGATTATTGAGCATGCATCAGGATATTAAGACCACCACTTAAATTTTAAACATCCTGCATCCGGTCATTTAGAGACGGATGAATGATTAAAAATAATAATAATAAAATAAAAAGGTATTCAATTCAAAAATACTTTATTAATCCCAGAGGGAAATAAAATGTTGTAACTCATCATCCTGGTTTAATTAAAGAGTTGTTCTAGATGCTGATGGCTGTGGGCAGGAAGGATCTCTTGTAGCGGTCTGTCCTACAACAGATCTGAAGAAGCCTCTGACTGAAGACACTTTGTTGTTGTATGACAGTCTGATGAAGAGGATGCTGAGGGTTGTCTATAATGTTCTTCATTTTATGAAGAATTCTTCTTTGAAGAATCATCTCCAAAGGTTCTAGAGGAGTCCCCAGAACTGAGCCAGCCTTCTTTATGAGCTTGTTGATCTTTTTTAAGTCACTTGCTCTGGTGCTGCTCCCCCAGCAGATGATGGCAGAAGAGATAGAACTCTCTACAACAGACTTATAGAAGATATGCAGCATCTTGCTGCAAACGTTGAAGGACTTCAGCTTCCTCAAGAAGTACAGTCTGCTCTGTCCCTTCTTGTAGACGCTTCACTGTTGCATTTCCAGTCCAGTCTGTTGTCCAGGTGAACTCCAAGGTATTTATACTTCTCCACCACCTCCACTTCTTCTCCAATGATGGAAATAGGGTTGGACCTGTTCCTATTTCTCCTGAAATCTACAACCATCTCCTTTGTTTTGTTCACATTCATGATGAGATAGTTGTTTCCACACCATGCCACAAAGTGGTCCACCAGTTCCCTGTACTCAGCTTCTTGTCCATCTCTGATACTCGACCACTGCAGTCATCTGAATGTTTCTGCAGATGACAGGAGTCCGTTTTGTACTGGAAATCTGAGGTGTACAGAGTGAAAGAGTCCCCTGTGGTGCTCCTGACCACCTGGTCAGACACACAACCCTTCAGTCTCACAAACTGTGGTCTGTTTGTCAAGTAGTCTTTGATCCAGGCGATTGTTGAGGCCTCCACCTGAGTCTTCTGGAGTTTCTGACTAAGCAAATCAGGCTGGATTGTGTTAAATGCACTGGAGAAATCAAAGAACATGACTCTCACAGTGCTGTCTGCCTTTTCTAGATGACAGTGAGTTTGCTGAAGCAGGTGTATGATGGCATCTTCAACTCCAAGTCCACACTGATAAGAAAACTGCAGTGGGTCCTGATATGTGCTTGTTTGTCTAGTCAGGTGGGTCAACAGAAGTCTCTCTAGGACCTTCATGATGTGGGATGTCAGGGAAACAGGTATATATATATATATATATATATATATATATATATGGGGGATTATAATTAAAAAATTTTATATATATATATATATAAAAAATTAATAACAATAATAATTTTTATTACATGTAATGAAACCATATAGTTATTATATTGTTATAATATACACACACACAAATTATTAATTATAACAATATAATTTATTACATATAATAAAATTATATATATAGTTACAATATATTACATATACATAATATTTATATAATATATATATATATATGTCTATATATATATATATATTTATAATATATATATATATATATAATATATTTATAATATATATATATATAGGCTATATAATGACAACGAAGACGACAACGATGAATAAAACATCAATAATAATAATCTACTTATATATTTATTCTATACTCCATTTCCCCCCACATAAAGTCAGATCTGGAAAATTCTGAAAGTAATCTATATTTCAATAGTATATATGGTTTAATTTCCTATGGCAACATTAGGCCACACAGATGTGGATTATTTGTGTACTGTTTTAAAAAAAGCTTTGCTCATTTGCAAAATGCTTCCAAGTGTAACAAACAAGTCCATGTAAATATATAAAACTACAAACTTAAGTATCTTGCAGCTGAATTCTTGAACTACTTCCAAGTTTCTTCTTGTGGTGTAATTGTGACCCCTACTGACGTAATGCTACAGTCACAGGTGAGGTGATTGATGCTGCAGCACAAGCAGTTCAGACACTTATCATCGTTCCAACTCTTTAATAAAACAGTTTGTGTCTGGCAAAGTGAACAGCAGTTAATAATAATAATAATAAAAATAAAAAAACAAGTCTTGGTGCAAAGTTTATTATTATATCTTTGTAAGAAGATACTCAGAAATGTGATGTATACACACAAACGTTACAGTTTTTCCAACTCTTCCACATGTCTAGAGTGAAAACCCACCCTGAGGTTACTGATAATACCCCCGTTGCTCCGTTACTGATTGTTGGGACTTTAAACAGAAAAAAATCTGTCAAATTACCCACAACGCATCATTCTGCATCACTGTTCTTCACCCGAGAGCTCCACGTCTCGCAGTCTTATAAAGTCCATCTGATCCTGGAGGCAGGGTTCACAGTTCAACAACCATCCAGGCTAATGTGAGCCAAAATAAAGTGACACTTTCACATGTGCAAATTTTACAAGCGCTCTTTCAGGATGCGACTCAACAAAGATGTAAAAACCTGAATATTTGTCTGTGTTCCTGTTTCGCTCACGTTTTTGGTTTCATAAAAATCATAGTTCACTGATTTTTCTAAATGTCCTAAAAACACAAAAACGGAATGATGAGCTGTGATTTTCACCAGTACTACCACAGTACTGGTGCTGGTCATACAATTAGAATATCGTGAAAAAGTGTATTTATTTCAGTAATTCCATTCAAAAAGTGAAACTTTTATATTATATTCATTCATTACACACAGACCAATATATTTCAAATGTTTATTTATTTATTTATTTTAATGTTGATGATTATAATTGACAACTAATGAAAACCCCAAATTCAGTATCTCAGAAAATTAGAATATTACTTAACAATAAAAAAAATATATATATTTTTTAGAAATGTTGGCCAACTGAAAAGTATGAACATGAAAAGTATGAGCATGTGTAGCACTTAATACTTAGTTGTAGCTCCTTTTGCCTGGATTACTGCAGCAAAGCGGCGTGTCATGGAGTCGATCAATCTGTGGCACTGCTCAGGTGTTGCTGGCCAGTTAAGAACAGGGATACCATGGTTCTTAAACCAGGTACTGGTAGCTTTGGCACTGTGTGCAGGTGCCAAGTCCTGTTGGAAAATGAAATCTACATCTCCATAAAGTTGGTCAGCAGCAGGAAGCATGAAGTGATCTAAAACTTCCTGGTAGACAGCTGCGTTGACCTTGGACCTCAGAAAACACAGTGGACCAACACCAGCAGATGACATGGCACCCCAAACCATCACTGACTGTGGAAACTTGACACTGGACCTCAAGCAACATGGATTCTGTGCCTCTCCTCTCTTCCTCCAGACTCTGGGACTTTGATTTCCAAAGGAAATACAAAATTTACTTTAATCAGAGAACATGGACTGCTCAGCAGCAGCAGTCCCAGGCGAGATGCTTCTGACGTTGTCTCTTGTTCAAGAGTGGCTTGACACAAGGAATGTGACAGCTGAAACTCATGTCTTGCATCTGTCTGTGTGTGGTGGTTCTTGAAACACTGATTCCAGCTTCAGTCCACTGTTTGTGAATCTCCCCCACATTTTGGAATGGGTTTTGATTCACAATCCTCTCCAGTGTGCATTTATCCCTATTGCTTGTACACTTTTTTGTACATCATTTCTTTCCCTTCGCCTCTCTATTAATGTGCTTGGACACAGAGCTCTGTGAACAGCCAGCCTCTTTAGCAATGACCTTTTGTGTCTTGTCCTCCTTGTGCAAGGTGTCAATGGTCGTCTTATGAACAACTGTCAAGCCAGCAGTCATCCCCATGATTGTTTACAGAACTAGACTGACAGACCATTTAAAGGCCTTTGCAAGTGTTTTGAGTTAATCAGCTGATTAGAGTGTGGCACCAGGTGCCTTTAATATTGAACCTGTTCACAATGTTCTAATTTTCTGAGATACTGAATTTGGGGTTTTCATTAGTTGTCAATTATAATCATCAACATTAAAAGAAATAAACATCTAAAATATATCAGTCTGTGTGTAATGAATATAATATACAAGTTTCACTTTTTGAATGGAATTCCTGAAATAAATCAACTTTTTTTTTTAAAGATATTATAATTTTATGACCAGCACCTGTATGGTAATCTGACTTATAGCTGCTGTGAAGGCACCGTTCCAGCCAGTTTCACTGGAACTGGAATAGAAACAAAAAGGGCATCAACGAGGAAAACAAAATAAAAATCTATGTCCAAGCTGACAAGTACCCTATGTAACACAACCTCATTATTTGCATTTACAGTTAAATAAACAAAACAAAAAAAAAAACCTTTTTCTTTTGTAAATTGCAACTTCAGCCTCACAGAGAATTAAACTTCATGTCACTGTTCAAGTACATTTCCTGTCAGCAGGTTAATAATCAGCCGGACAACAGTTTCAGTGGTGGAAAAGCCCACAATCAGAGAAAACGTTTCAGTAAAATGCCAAAAAAGAAGGAAATACTCCTTTATGACGTTGCATAAAAACCCTGAAAAATGATGATAATTTGTCTCTAATGAGGACAATTTTAGGTCCAAATGTTCATCGTTTATAATTTCAGTAAAAAGTAGGCTTTAATCACGACAGTGTAGCAGAGAATGAAACGTGCAAACAATACTAGTGTTAAACAGGTCGTTCCAGGATTTCCACTGACCTATAACTCAGACATCATTTCTCAGAAGTGACTACACGCCTGTGTGTCCTCTCCTCCCCCCTTTTCCAAGCACAGACACGTCTCCCTAACCCCTCTGCGATGTTCACATCCCAGCTGAGTCAGGCAGGGAAACGCAGGCAGGAGTTGGCAACGCAAACGCATTTTTGATCTCTTGCTTCCTGGAATTCAGCCGGGTTGCCAGGGCAGCAGCTGGCTGATGCACCAGGAAGCGTTTGAAATCTGCGGTGCTGCTGTTCAGACAGTTTCTTTGGCACGGCTCGCTGGTGGAGAGCTCTGGGACACAAAACTAACTCCCTGAGCGTGGGTCCAAACCCAGACCACAGCAGAAGCAAGATGTTTTCTGTGTCCAATTCTTAAACAAGTTGTGAAAAAGGTTTTACTTTCTTGTGAAGACAAATCGTTGTCACAGAAATTTTAAATGAAGCTTCAGTAACGCAACTCTCTGAACTTTCCCTTTCCACTTCCACACGACGCCGCGTCGTCTTCTCTGTGATTAAAAACACGGCCTGCCCTCGCCTCTTTGGTTTGCTAATAGACTGTAAATCGTGTGGGAGCGCCACAACAACCAGATCATGTCACAGATCGGTGCGCTCAGCACACAAAATCTTCTACGACTGATTTGTAAATCTTATATTTGGTCGTGTTTAAAATCTCTAAGCCTCAGAGCATCGAGGCTGGGGTGTCACCTCCACCTGATAAACATTTTACTTCTTTCGCTTCCAGTCGCTGCTCAGGTCAGAGTCCAGTAAAACATCAACGAGCAGCACCGGCGGATGTGGTTACAGAACAACCAAGAAACGACAAAAGAACAATAAAGAGTAAAATGAAGGATGGTAGGAGGACAATCAGCTGACTGAAGCCAGGCAGCGAGCTTTAAAGAGTTAAGAATGGAAGTTTTGCTCTTCGTCACAATATATTTACCAGCAACAGGCTCCAAACTCAAGAACACAATAAGCCTTTCTGTGTCAAATCTTAAAAAATTAAATAAAGTCACCTTGTAATTTATAGCCACATATTCAGTGCACTGCACACTGATCAAGCTATAAAAAGCAACGGTTTATCATTTCCATCTGCATATTTCTAATCCATAATTCTCATCTGAAGTTTATCTTGTAAATGAGAGCAACAGCAAGTAAAACGGTGCAAAATGCTAAAATCTAAAAGGAGCAGTACGAACATATTAAAGGTACAGGATGCATGTCCTCACAGTTAGCATTTAGTTTTGGCACAGCTGTTTTCTATCCTTTGATGACTCCATGCGTGGGCAGAACGTAAAGAACGTGCGCGAGCAACAAGGAGGAGACAACACAGAGGTAGACGAGGACATCGGAGACGAGCTGAGGCCGAATCAAAAGAAAAAACCGGAGCAGGTTTTAGAAAACGCAACAGTTGTGTTGCTGAGGCGCTCAGACGGTTCGGTCTGGGCTTGTGTGCGTTTCGTCTTTGAAAGCGCTCCCGAGGCTCGGCACACGCCCAGTGTTCAAACCTTCCAGCAAGAATGTGAGCTCCACGCTGGTCTCATGTGTCATCCTTCCTTTCATACGATTTCCTCCAGTGTGTGACTCCAATTTCACGTTTTCAACATTCAACAAGATCTGTGCGTCCGTCAGTGGACGGTGAACAATCCATGCGCAGATTTCTCCACCGTGGCTCATTTAAAACACGTGTCCATCGCCTCACTCTTGTTTTACAGCACAAACAATATTCGCAAAAAGGGAGAAATGTCTCGTTTTGTTGCCTTGGTAACTTGGATTACTGATCACTCTTAAAATTTCCTGCCTCAGCATTCCTTCAGGGAGGACCACAACGCCGAGGCAACCTGAAAAGCTAACAAAACTACATTTTGCTGTTTAGATTAGTTCTGCTGTCATTAAATCTGAGACAAGGACTCAAATAAGAGTCTATGGCAAGTGTTGGCTACTAGTAGGAGAATGTGCTTTACCTGACAAGTCAAATTTAGTTTAAAAACGTTTTCTAAGTGCAGAGCGTCGTTCGAAACAGCTACCGTTTCAAATTTTAATTTAACAAGACGGCGTTGGATTTTATTTCCCCTCGTCTCAACAGCTCAATAAAGCGTTCCATTTTCCAAAGCAGTCCCAAGCCGAATAAATAAACTACATCTGAGGATGAACAACGAACACCTCCCTCTGTTTCCTCACTTGTTAACACGGATCACAAAGTCCGCCAGAGTTGGTTTGTTTTAAGGGTCTTCTCGTGTGTCGGGCCGGCCTGTCCGTCCCGACGGAGACATGGCTGTCGTCTTTTAGAGCCGTGCAAGCATGGTGAGGTTAGAGAGGTCAGATCCATCGTCCGGAGCCTCGGGTGTGCTGCTTCTTCTTCCTCTTGCACACATAGTAGACTGGAAAAGCAAATAAACCTGCAGGGAAACAGAAGAGAATCACACAAATGATTACCTGTTTTATTAGAAACCTATTGACGTATTTAGAGGTGGACTGATTGATCGGTCTAACTTTAGCCATTTTTAAGAAAGCAGCATCTACCACAGCCGAGCATATCTAATGAAGAGGTCCGTTTGTACCTGGAGGTCAGAGTTTATGACTGAGCGTCCCTCATAACTGGATTTCTGGCTTGAAATGTCAGAGGCTTCTCACCTGCCGCACTCTTTAAATCTATTAAAGGTCTAACAATCCTTGAAGGAATGCCTGCCCACCACCTTTCGTGCCAGAGTTTTAAACTGGGACCGTCTTATGTTGACAAACAATGGAGTTGTAGCCGTTTTGGTCAAATCCTAACAAAAAAAAGAACAATATGCGGAATAAACTTTGCAAGCTCTTGTGATCTGTTAGCAGTCAAAGTATGTGCTGAGGACGACCCTCAGCTACCACCACGTCCAATTTACAACCATTTTGGGAACGGCTAACATTGCTTGGCTGTGGTGGCCATCTTGAATTGGATTTAATTTAAAAGGTAATCAGTCATGTACATCCAATGATTATTTTATGAAACTTTCATTTCATCAGTCACCTGATTCACGAGATATTTTGCTAACAGACAAACAGGGTTGACTCCAATAGTTACTGGCAAAGTTTTAAATGAAAACCTGCCAAGATCCATTAGTGCCAAGAATACATGTTCCGGATGAAGCTGCAGCTACTAACCTGAACCCTATATCCGTAAAACGTACCACTTTATAGCCATTTTTGCTAAGGTCGATTAGCTGTGGCAGCCATCTTGAACTGACTCCACTATAAAAGTTAATACGTTGTAGATGTGCGTGCACTAATTACTTTGTGAGGTTCATGAAATCTATCCAGTGGTTCATGTGAAATTTAGCTTTAAACACAGAGACGGCCAAAACATTACTGGCTGCCTTGAGGCTGGAGGAGATCAATATGGCGGCCTCGTGCATGTAGTGGTGATCAACTCTCTGCACTTCTCAGTCAGTTTGTATCATATTAAATTAGCTGCATACAGATGTTGCTGCAGTGTTTGAATCCATAAAATGCCGTTATGAATTTGCAGCTGGAATGCAGTTAGGTTGGGTTTGACGTCCTCCCCAGACGCAGGACTTCCGAGGTAATTAGAACGCAGCATAAGCTAATTACAAGACAGGAACATTTGGAAATATTAGAACACTTGACACTACACCCTTTTGTCCATGTGCTTCTGGGGTACGCTTTCGGCACAACACCGGCAAACCCCAAAGGATTAGCGCATGATGCTAACTTAGCAAAAACAGTGCCGTATTGATCAGATAATGGCGAGGCTTTCATCCTCAACTTTCTTTAAATATTTAATTGGTTAGATAAGAACCGTTTCTTTTAGGAAGGAAACTGATTATGATTGGAACTGCATTCACAGCAAACCTTGAATAAACTGTAGCGCAGGTAAAAATATGTAATAAAGAAAAAAACAAAACATCTGCTTCATAAAGCAACAGTTGCTAAAAATCAACTTCATCCATTAAATAACTGTAACCAATCAGCCTCTGTGTGTATTCCATAAATATACATTCTTGGACTATCATTATGATGGGTTTTATTTAATTATACTATATTATAGCTCAAAGCAAGCTGAGCTGGCACATGAAAAATTAATTGAGCAGAGAGGGGGGAAATCAGCTGCACGACTAATTCAATTAAAGTAATATACAGAAGATCATCTGTGAGGTTTACAAACAACAAAAAGAGATTATCACTAATTGAAGCACAATAACTCCCAGCACAGGCTGAGAAATGACTCAGCACGAGTCTCCAGCTGGATGATGATGTAAGCACATTTCCAAGAAGTGACAGTCAGTGGTTGAGCATTTGGATCCTTGCGTTTTTTTTTTTTTTTTTTAAACCAATGTAGTTTGCATCTTTTACATGAAACGTAAAAAAAATAGCTGTTTGTGAATTTGTCGTGCAGCTGCTGCGCAAGGTGAAAGAAAACCTTCATTTGTGACTCGGATAAGACATTTAGCAGTTACACGTTGTCGGCCTTCATCTGTGCGTGTGTGTTCACGTGTGTAACTGTGTTACCTATCACCAGCGCGAGAGCTCCGAGCACTATCACCAGCACCAGGACCAGTGGCGCTATCAGAACCTTCGAGGCTGCAAGGAATAAAAAAAAAAAAAAAAAAAGAAGAAATGATGGACTCCGTCTGCAGAACAGTGTAACTCATTAAATGCAACATCTCTGCCGCTACCAGAGCTGGAAATGAGCGAAGCACCGTAATGGGCAAATGGCTCGTGTTAGGGGACAAATTAGCTCCCAGTTCTCAGGCGCCACGCTGATATAACGAACTGTACCTTCCATGGTGAGCCGAGAGGAACGGATATGTCAGGAGTTCAGCTTCCTGGAACCTTACTGCTTTACAGATGTGATAAGCAAATGAATAACTATAATTAAAACAAAGCTCTCCTCAGTGAGCTCGTGTTCAGTTCATCTGGGTCAGGAAGGTTCGCTGTACATTAATGAAGCAATGAGATCTGCACATTTTACTTGTGAACTTAGTAGCAACATGTTTGAAGATAAAGACATGTTGAGGTGCAGTGATTCCCCAAGAATAACTGAAGATAAATAATGCTTTACAAAAACAAGGCCAAAATTCTGACTGTTACATGAACTAGAGGAACTGCATTTCCTGTAAAAATGCAGTGTGAATGCTAATTGCAGAAGAACTTGCTGAAAAACAGCTGAAATTAGCAACAACAACAAAAAAAACATGCTGAAATGTAGCTGAAATGGAAGCACATGCCTAAGTTAGCAGAATAAAGCAGAAAGAACACATTGAATGAATTAGGTTTAAATAAGAAGAAATGAGCATAAAAATTAGGAAATTTGTTTAAAAAGCTGAAATTTACCAAAAAAGTAGCTGAAAACTAGCTGAAAAATAATATAGAAGCTTAAACTAACAGAAGGAAGCATAAATAGCTGAAATGAGCCCAAAAATTTAAATAAGCTGAAAAAGATTAAATTAGCATAAAAATGGCTAAATAGTAGCTGAAATAGCAAAAAAAAAAAAAAGCTGAAACTAGCAGAAATAACTTGTAAGGAAAATAACAAGCTAACAAGCAAATTATGAGAGAAAAATGAATTAGGCTGAAAGAAGTAGAAATGAGCAACAAGAACTGGAATTTATCCCAAAAAAAGCAGAAAGTTGAAGAAAAAAAAAGAAAACTGAAAAGTAGCTAAAAGATCAGAAAGAAGCTCAATTACAAGAAGGAAGTGGAGAGAGCATATTTTTGCTGAAAAGGGCTGAAAAGTGTTCCAAGAAATGCAAAAAATGTGGAATAAGTTGAAAAAGCTAAAATTCTATATTTAGCCTTTTCTGACATTTTTTTGCTCATAGAAAATGAATTGAGCTCATTTACATCCTTCAAGTCTTTAGATCTGTTTACAAACTTTTACTGCTCCTTTCACATTCATGTTCTGGTTCAGTTTCTTTCTTCTTCCTTGTACACATTTAAACATTTTTCCAGCTACTTTAAGCTACTTTTAGCCGTTTTTTCTGCTGTTTTGTGCTCCTTTCTGATTCTTTCAGCTAACTACAACATTTTTGCACTTCTTCCAACTTATTTCTGATAATTTAATAGAATAGACTTAATATAGATCAAATAGAATGTTTTGATTTATGATTTGTAGAAATAGCACAAAAATTGTGGAACGAGAAAGAAGCCGAAGGAAGAAAAAGGGATGACAGTAGTGTGAATAAGCATTCACGCAATAAGATGAGGAACCTGAAATGAGCCAGTTAACCTTAAAACGGTTCTGTTCAGAGAAACGGGCCAAAAGTCTTCAAAGTTAAGGTTCAGGAGTGTTAAAATGTTATAAACACAGTTATTGCAGCATGATTACATCACACCTGATACTAAAATGATAAGATTTATATAACTTGGCCACCTACCGTAAACATGTTTTTTTTATTTTACATTAATGTCACAAAATAAAACAGCAAGAACTACATTTTTGTAGGGGATATATACCGGTAATCCCTCTGGAGACTCCTTAATCCCTGAACCACCTCAGCTGACTCTTTTCAGTGCAGAGGAGCTGTGTCTTTACTCGGAGCTCCCCCAGATGACGGAGCTCCTCACCTTATCTCTAAGGCTCATAGATGTAGAACGTAAAATCTGCTTTTAGTTGCATCATGAACACAAAAAACTCTGAATCAGTTGTAAATTTGTGAAAAATGGATTCGGCAGTACAGCTGCAAGGTGCCCTTGTCCTAGTAGCGTTAGCGTAGCTTCTTGTAGTAGATTCATGTTGCAGTAAAGCTGTTTTCACTTCTTTTCTTTGTCAAACCTTGAATAATATGTCTACATGTTTATTTAAAGTTAACTCTCTTTAATTATGACTTTGACTTGTTTAATTTGTGTATATGATTCAGTGATGAACATTATGCTAATCCAGTTAGCTTTTCTATAGTGGTTTTAACTTGAAATTAGCATCTACACTATGTTTTGGTCAGCAGCCCTCGATTAATAGGCTTTTTGACATATATGAGTCTGCACTCTAAGCATGAAAGTATATTATTCACTGTTCATTTTAATTCCCCACAATCAATCAAGTGGTATGCATCAATAATCATTTTATTATTGCATTGCGGACCACTGAATTGTAATCTAATCAGATTGTGAGGCGCCTAAATGCTTCCTCCTTTAAAGTCTGAGCCCGACCACCCTACAGAGGAAGGTCGATTCAGCCGCCTGTGTCCAGCTTCAGAGTCTTGACCATTTCATAATAATTTTCATAGCATGTTGATGTTTGCATCACAATAAAAACACACTGTGTTGATGCAGGCTGGTCACAGAGCTGCTGGATAAAAGTTTGTTCCACTGCTGCTATGACTGCTCTATTTCACTGTGATACATAAGTACAATTCCCAGCTGAGTGCTGGAGAACATCCTCGTTCAGAGAGTCTGAGTCATGGACCAGAGACGGAAAAAGAAGATTCAGAGGAAATGAACAGAAAGAAAGGAACTTTGCCTCATTTAAGTTAAAAGATACTCACAATAAGGTCATGACCTTGACATACCCGGTAATCTATGTGTAGGCAAATTCAACTTTGCATAATTAAAGAGAAATTGAAAAACAATAAAGAAAAGTACAAAACACTGCTTAGACAAAGCAATGTGCTAGGGATGCATTGGATTTTTAGCCGATATCTGATATGCCAATATGTTAAACTTATTTGACTTTTTTTTAAATTTTATATTTATGTGATTAAATCAAAGCAGAACAAAAAAAAAGACAATATCCCAATGGGTCACATCAAGTACCACCACATTAGAGTTAACATCTCCAAGGACCAAATGTTTAAAACATTCCCTCACCAACTCACCACAAACAGACCCTCGGATCAGTCTCCTTAAGTGCGGCTTGTCAGGGAGGTATCGATACTTGCAGCCAAACACGCTGAGATTAGACGTGTGGTCTCCAAAAAATCTGACCAAGAAACAATGAAAGGCGACATCAGAAAAACGCTCAAAGGACAGACAGCGTGGTCAGAGGCAGGACTGAAGGAGACTCGGACCTCAGGTGTCTGTAGCGATTTCCACAGCGGTAGCAGAAGTTGGTGTTACACTGCGTGCAGGTCATGTGATCGCAGCCCTCTGTGCGCTGAATGTGGATCTGAAGACAAAAAGACAAATAAATCTGAAATAAGAGTTTAAATTAACACATTCATTACATTCTTATGACAGAGTGAACACTGAGGGATGGACTTGTTGATTAGCACGTGACCAGAATCGAATGACCTTCATCTTGACAAGCATGACCTCTTGACTAGCAGGTCATTCACAAAAATCCTTTTTTGTTTCAGGTCTCTGAACACCCCAGAGCTCGGCAGTTAATTTGAACAAACAATAACACATTTTTGGAACATAAATCTTTGATTTTTGACAAGAAGGTCTAACTATTCATAATACTTGTAAGATGACAAAAAAAAATAAAATTAAACAAGCACAAAATAATGTTATCTTACAGCTCTGCATTGGCAAGTCAGAGAAAAATGTAACTACAGTATGATGTAATAGTTTCAAACTGGTTTATATTTTCCATGTATAGTTCCATGTATAATAAAGTTAGTTTTTAAGTAAAAGGTGTTTGTTTTTAATCATAGAAGTTTCAGTTTTTGAGCACAGTCAAAATTTTCAAATCAACAAATAAATAAAAATTAAAAAGTATGCTTTCAATTACAGTAGTCCCTCACTACATCGCGGTTCGACTTTCGTGGATCCGCTCTTTCACGGTTTTTCAACGATTGTCACCTTTAATATTACTCACGTGATCGGGACGGTACAGATAACGTGTTAACAACAACTAAAAAAAACTTTGGACAGGCGCAGCCATTTTGTAATTTGCTTTCAATAATATCGCCAGTCCAAAAGAACTATATTACCCAGAAGTCAACAGTGCTTCTGGTCGTTGATTTCTACCAAAAGGGAGGGAAAGTTTTAATCAGATCTGTACCTGATTAAAAATAAATTAATTAATTTAAAACGTTTGGTTCTTATTCATAGTGTCTTTGGCACTCAGTGGATGCAAAGAGCTGAACTGGACCAAGGCTAATTCCAGCCTCATCGGTCAATCTGAGTGCCGGGCCATGAGGCCGCTCAAGTGGGGAGGTGTTTCTTGGAGGTCCGGTGTCTTCTCTGGAGCTCACCCAGACTTTTTTCATCTGATCACTCTGGATTATTTGGACTCGATCGGGACCATTGTGTGGTTTTGTGCTGGCTCTCCGAAGGTCCGGCACTCTTTAAAAGTGTCTGGTGCTCAACGGCTGCAGAGAACCGATCAGAACCAGGCCAGAACCGGACCAGGGCTGGTTAGTATACCCATATAAAGTTTTGCAGTAGCTACTGTACAGTACATATATGTCGTATGTTGTTAAAATGACATAGGTTTAAGAGTTTAGAACATTGCAAGAGTGTGGGAAGGGTTTATAAAGCCTTAAATTATATAAATAAATATAGCGTTCCTACTTTGTGGTTTTTCACTTATTGCGGAGTCGGAACGTAACCCCTGCGATTATCGAGGGATTACTGTATTGTATGCGAGAAATTTCAATCTGTAAAAATTCAGCTGATGGAATCGGCCCAGAAAAACGCAACTGATGCAGCCCTCGTTAAAATCTTCAAACCGTTGTGTTCACACTGAAAACACACTGGCACAGTAATACACACACTGCAGCACCGCTGTCTTCCTTTAAACTGTGCATTAAGTTGGGCGGACTGATTCCAGCTGAACGCAGCACGACACCAATTTGTTGGCTTCACACTCTGGAACAATCCTCTCTCGTGCTCCACAGAAGACATGCAGAGACCCATAACAGCAGTGTGACAAACACAGAGAAAATGTTTGGCGCTTTAGGAAAACAGCTTCCAAATAGTAGTATCTGGCTATTTTATGTATTTTTAATCCATTTGCAGGCAGACTAGATATTGTGTAGATCTGTGACACAAACTCAGGCTTGTTTTATACCAGTCCAACATCTATGGTTTAGCGCAGAAGGGGGAAAAATATCATTATCTTTTCAATATATGTACCATCTATGCATCAGTACTCTGCTGGTCAACATGCAGTCGTTCTCCACTGCTCTCCATCCATCATCCCTCCCAGCTTTCATGCTCCTTAACCTTCAGTGATTCACTTTTCTCCACTCATTCCACCCTCCATCAATCAACTCACTCGCCATTTACAGACACGTAACTACTGACACCGTGACCGCATTCAGCATTATTCTTTAAAATAAAATTAATTAATTAATTAATTAATAAAAAATAAAAAAATGATAAGAAAGTCAAGTCCCCACCTTGCACTGTGGACATTTCTGGGCGTTCCTCTGTCCATGCTCGATGACGCTCGCCCAGGTTCGAAGCTGCTTGTCTGCTTTCCTGTAGTCTCGACATTTAAGTCCGTCGTGCCAAGGTGCGTGGCATTTGAAGCACCACAAAAACTGGCAATTGCTACACTGGATCTACAGTGGGGACAGAGGATGTGTGTACAGGTTTACAAACAGGCAAACAAATTGTAAAAATCTGCACAACTGGAGAAAGGGAGTTTGATTACACAAAAATATATATATTTTAGAAATTAGAGGTAGACTTTGTCAAGTTTAGTCCACATGACCGTTTATTTTCTTTAGCCACGTGTTCCTGTTCAAGGTTGCAGACAGCTGATGCCATTCTTCACAGATCTCTGGGCTAAAGGCAGGATTCAACCTGGACAGATAGCCAGTCCATCACAGGTTCACATAATGAAGACAATCGTTCATAAACACAAACACTCACATCTAGAGACAATTCAGAGTTACCAATGAACCTTACATGCATGTTACTGTGACTGGACGAAGAAAAACCCTCACACAAAAAGTCACCAGCTGAGCGTCAAACCTTCTGGCGACAATGCTAAGCAGCTACTTCACAGTGCAGCATCAGAATTCACATTACAATTACCCAAATATGGGACATTATTACAAATTATGGGACCTAGTTTGATCAAAACAGTAGGGAGGTAACCCATGAATTGAGACTGTTTTGGCTAATTCGACATCAAAGAATCAAAGAGGACCCTCACCAGTACACATATCGCAAGAATTGATCAACAGAGGACGCCATCTCCTCTGTGGTCCACATTGCTCTCACCCCCCTGGAGCAGAAGGACTCCGCCTGTATAATCTTTGTGGACTTCACGTCTGCCTTCAACACCATGATCCCTCCAGACCCTGGTGGACAAACTACTCACACTAGGACTAAGCTCCTCCATTTGCAACTGGGTACTAGACTTCTTAACAAACAGACCACAGTCAGTGAGGATCCACAACTTCTCTTCTACCATAACCCTCAGAACTGGCTCCCCTCAGGGATGTGTGTTAAGACCCCTCTGCTCACATATGACTGTGCACCTACCCATCCAGGCTGTCATAATGTAAAGTTTACAGATGATACAGTGGTGATTGGATGCATCACAAACAACAAGTCCAGCTACAGGCAGGAGGTGGAACATCTGGACAGCTGGTGCAGGAAGAACAACCTTCACATTAATGTGAAGAAGACGAAGGAGATTGTGCAGCTGAGGCGAGCTGGTCTGGGAAGCACAGTCCTCACCTCCTTCTACAGGTGTGCAGTGGAGAGCATCCTGTGCTCCAGCATCAACATGTGGCATAGAGGCTGCACAGCTGCAGAAAGAAAAGCTTTGCAGAGAGTGGTGAAGGCTGCACAGAAGTCTGTTGCAGTCAGCCTCCCCACCATCACAGACATCTACACCTCCAGATGCAGGAAGAGGGCCACCTGCATCATGAAGGACCTCACTCACCCAGCACATACATTTTTTTGTCCCGCTTCCCTCAGGCAGGAGGTTGAGGAGCATTAAGTGTAGAACCACTAGACTGAGGAACAGCTTCTACCCTGAAGCTGTTAGACTCATGAATCTCTTAGACTCATGAATCTCTAATCAGGATAATCACTGTGGAAAAAAAAATCATTGTAATGCCACTTGATACGTGATATGTGCTTCTGATTATCCATTTTTCTGATCTCGTGCTGCTGATTATTTCATGCTGCTGTGTTCAATCATTCATACTCATCCTCCCACAAAGACTCATGTTCGTGCTACTGTTGTTCGGTGTATTGTTTTTGAACCATTAGTGATTAACATATATCTTAGAGATCTTTTAGCATACTGTATGGCGTTTGTTTAGCGTCTATCTTAATTTAGATATTGGATCCTTATTTATCATTCCTTTTTACTAGGGGTTCACCGATGGCAGTTTTCTGGCTGATCAGATTTCTAAAAAGTCTGACGTGCTGAATCCGATTTTGGCCGATACCCATTTTGTTTTATAAGCAGCGCTGTCAGGCGTTATAAGGTCACAATGCACCTTCAATTGTCCAATATTATTTTATTGAAAAGCATACCCTTTAACAATATCCTAGAAACAATACAAACTGGTTTTAACTGGCCATGAGGTAGTGCTCTGAAATATAAATGAAGTTCAGACAATTGTTGTTAAAACAAAACAAAACAAAAAAAAATCAGTAAAATCGGTTTCTCGTGCAAGTATCGGCCGATTTATCGGTGCACCCCTACTTTATACACTTCGTATTTTTGCTTTGGTTGGATGTAACTGGGACCCTGTGTACACAATTTCATTCCACCTCATGACAATAAAGAACCTTGACCTTAATTCTACATGGTGTCACTGTTGATTTTAAAGTCAATAATAAAAAATAAAAAAAAACATTTTATGCTGTACAATAACATAAAAAAAATAAAAGAAACTAGATAAATTGCATTTCCTGTGAAAATGCAGTGTGAATGCTTATTGCAGAAGAACTTGCTGAAAAACATCTAAAATTAGTTTAAAAAATGCTAAAAAAAAAAAGCTAGCTGTAAATGTATAGCAAGCTTAAATAAGCACAAGAAAGCAGAAAGAACACGTGTGCCCATTTAGGCTGAAAAAAATCAGAAATGACCACAAAAAAATCAGAAAAACGCTGAAATTACAAGAAGGAAGTGTAGAAAGTACATTTTTGCTGAATTAGGCTGAAAAAAGTTTAAATGAGTGCAAAAAAATGTGGAATTAGCTGAAAGCTAAAATTAGCATAAAAACCAGCTAAATAGTAGCTGAAATAGCAGAAAAAGCTGAAACTTGCACAAATAAGCTAAAAGGAGCATAACAAGCTGAAATTAGCAGCAAAAAGTTAGAATAAGCACAACAATGTTGCAGTTAGCAGAAAGAAGTTGAAAACATCACAAAACAGCTGAAAAAGCAGCTGAAATTAGCTGAAAATATCTGAAAAAAGTTTTAATTTGCACAAGGAAGCTGAAAGCAGCTGAACCAGAACAAAATGTGAAAGGAGCAGTAAAAGGTTGTAAACAGATCTAAAGATTTGATGGATGTAAAATGAGCTCAATTCATTTTCTATGAGAAAAAAAAAGTGGCAGAAAAGGCCAAATATTTCAAAAAGCGAAAGTTGCATCAGTACCAAAAGTCATAGCAGGGTTGTCCTGAACAAGCTGAACGTTTTGATATCCGACTTGTTGAAATAGCTTGAAAACTGCGGGAAGAACCGAAGCGCCGAAAAACGTACGGAAGAAAAATGGATCACAACAGTGCGACTGCTTCATAAGCGTTCACTCAGAAACTCTTTATTTCCCAGACAATGCATGTAGTATTGTTTTATAAACATAAACTGTGGCATACTGAATTATAGAAGTTTAAATTCTTCATTTTCGTTGGTGTCACCTTGCTCCTTTGAAACAAATGTTAAAATGAAGAGTTGTACTTGAGTGACTGCTGAAAAACATTTACCTATTTGGTGGCAACTTGTCAGCCACCTCCACCCTAAGCACCCAGCTGCCAGTGGAGGTGTCCGGTCTTACCTTGTACTTGTGCTCGGAGCGGTTCGGGTTGTGCGTCTTCAGAGTGGTGAAGTGGTTGCACTGGGGGCAGGGCTTTGTGCTCTCGTCCAGCTGGCTCAGCTCCACGAAATAGCGATACTTTTCTGCCTCTTCACTGGTCAAGTTTGAAATCACCAGTCCCTCCGCCAGGATGCCTCGACACATCCAGTATGGACAGCTGACGACAGCTTTCCCCACCTTCACCTGAAAAACCAAAGTAAAAGGTCAGTTAGCGTTGGAATAAACATGTTTAAGCAACAAAGTCCATGCTCAATAATCCAGGTATACAATCCAACATTCCCCCTCCTCCATTGCCAGCCCTCTTCCTTGTTGTGTGTTTCCTTGACTGATGAGGCCTTCCGGATCGAAGGTGAAACGTTTCAGCACAGAAGGGGAGGCTGTCCAGATGACCTGAGTGAATGTTGGATGTTTAAGCAAGTTTATTTTAGCTCGTTATGGGTTTCCCTGCGACACCTGCTGTTCAACAATGACTCAGTTCAAGGTTCTCGAGTCAGAGTCAGAGGTTTTATTGTCATTTCAGCTACGCACAAGTACATATTGAAATGCAACAACGTTCCTCCAGGATCACAGCGCAACACAAAACATTATGTGCAAAAACAATACAACACACAGTGCAGATACACAACAGTACAATAAATGCAGACGTATAATAAGTACAAAAAGGCATCAAACCTAATCTAAACATTTCAATCTAAACAAGCAATTAAGAGACAAAACTAGAGACACATGTTGATTAGTACATGTGTAGGTGGTACATGAGATGGAAACATGTTCTGATATGTGGTTAGGGATTCATGAGTCTAACAGCTTCAGGGTAGAAGCTGTTCCTCAGTCTAGTGGTTCTACACTTAATGCTCCAGAACCTTCTGCTTGAGGGGAGCGGGTCAAAAAGTGTGACTGAGTGTGCATATTTAAACAACGTGTGTATTCTGATGCCAAACAGCAGCATTTGATTTTACATATAGGAAATCCTCATGCTGGCGATGGGATCGGATGAATAATTTACAGCAGCAATAGGCAAATGAGAGGAAGGCTGGAGAATGCAGTGCAGAAAGTGGAAACTAATGTGCATCAAGGAACATGCAGATGGGCGCCACGGTGGTGGATCAGTTGGTGGAGCTGTTGCATCTCAGCAAGAAGATCACCGGATCAAATCCCGGGGACCTTTCAGGGTGGAGTTTGCATGGTCTCTCCGTGCATGCGTTGGTTTTCTCTGGGTACACCAGTTTCCTCCCACAGACCAAAAACATGCATGTTAGACTGACCGGTAACTCTAAATTGTCCCTAGATGTGAGTGAGAGAGTGAATGGTTGTTTGTCTCTATGTGTCCCTGTGATGGACTGGAGACCAGTCCAGGGTGTCCCCCGTCTCTTGCACAGTGACTTAAGGATATGGGCACAAGTGACCCCCATGACCCGAAAAGGAAAAAGAGGGTAAAGATACTGGATGGATGGAACATGCAGACACACATGGGTTTGTCTGCAGTGAGAGCACTGCAGTCACTTCCTGTGAGTGCACCTTATTCACACAATGTAGTGACGAAGTCGACTAGTCCTAACATTTCATGCTGCTGCTTTAGAGTGCATTAATACGTAACCGGTGTTAATATTTGAAATATTATAATCTACTCATGCTAATGTGTGTTAAAATGCCCACACACTCATAACGTTGCATCATGTGTAGGTTTAAAAAAAAAAAAAAAACTAAAACAGAGCATGTGCTTCCTTCGGAGCACATCTAATCCAAGGTCTTAACATTTCTCCCTCTCTTGTATGTAGTTGACATCTAGTTTTCTTCTTCTACGGCTCTTTTGTCATTTGATCACTGCATGCGTGTGCATTTGTAACGTGGTCAAGACAAAACTCATCGATCTCTGATGATGTCCCATCACGTATCTCCCACATGAAGACCTCGTGAACAGATTATGAGGATGTATCCTCTGCAGGCAGCGATAGCGGTGTTATTGTTGTTGCCATAACACCAGTGCTCTGAAGGCCACGGCCTGGTTGGACTGGTCAGACACGTTAGTTCTCACAGACGCGTGTTACAGTGTGCCAAATATGTGGCTGAATTTGTTTAGTGTACTGACACACTGGTGCCAATTTAAAACCACAAACACAATAAGAACAGTGAGCATCTTGTGCAAAATGTATAAAACACATCAGATCGTGATGATGTAAACTGAAGGACTGTACTTAATACAAGAAGTGTTGTAAGGACTGTACTTAACTACAATACAAGAACCGTCGTTTTTGAATCCATCGACCGGTATATGTTTTGTATAGCTCAGTTCTTTCACTGCCTTTAAATGAACGCTTTGGCACCTGTCTTTTTAAAAACACTCTGTCTTCTAACTGGATAACTTTCTGAAAGCCTTTGCCTGTTATCCCCACTCCTTCCCTTGACAAAATTAATCTGTAATGTACTGAGCAACAGAGTTTTCCTGTTTCTGATCAACGAAAGCAAACCTCTCTCATCCACCCCAACACGTTCAAACCCAAACCGATTAAAGACACAACCCAAATCTGCAGTGACAGTCATAATTAAAAACTACATCTCCCACTGTCTGGCGTGCAAAAGTTTTATACAAAGATATTGTGCATTTGTTAGCGGAAGGAACGCATCTTGGGGATGACTCTCAGCTACTACCACAGAGTTTGAGCCTTGTGTCTAGAAGCGTCACTGGTTTGAAGCCATTTTTAAGCTGTGACAGCCATCTTGAATCAAGTTAACTAAGACTTGACTTTACTTGTGATAAATCCTATAGTTAGGGTTGGCTTGTTATGCTTCTATAGACAGAATACTGGAGGACAAGTTGACCTCATTTCCTTAAATGAATTGTTACAGTTGAATAGTTTTCATTTGATGCCATTTCTATTTTTACATGTGATTCGTGACCTGCCATTGTGTATCTGTTCCTACCAAACTCAGCTGGTTGAAGCAGATGGCCGCTTGTCCTGAGCCTGGTTCTGCTAAAGGTTTCTTCCTCATGAGGGAGTTTTTCCTTTCCACTGTCGCCTTCGTGCTTGCTCAAGATGAGTCTGTGATGAAGTTAAATTCAAAGCAGTCGGCTCCTCATATAAATAATGTTATTAACTTACTTACGAATGTTTTTATTCAGTGCCCTGAGATGACTTCTGTTGTGACTTGGCGTTACTTGAATTGAAATTGAATTGATTTCCCAAAACTGTCATGAAATCCACGACTTCATGAGTTATTTTGCTAACAGAGACAACTTAGTGCACACACAAGCAGTTACGCAATCACCTATCATTTATGGCGCCAGGTAATAACATTAGCAAGACTTGGTCAGGTAAATATTACACATATGACTTACTAATTGAATATGGCAGATTGAATAGTCAAAAAAATAAAAGAAAACAAAATGATTACACGTTTGCCTTTTTTCATATGTTAGCAATTAAGAAATGTGCTAAAATTGAAAAAAAAAAAAAAAGTCAGACAAAGTTTTCAGAGCTGTCTTAACTTTGAGCATGATTTGTTTTAATGAAGGACAACAGAAAAGACAAAAGTATATTAAGTGTTCTGTCCAAAATATTACTTTGATTTCAACTGTTCGACAAATAAAAACAAGGTGCAATGTATGCATAAAACCAGAACAATGCCCTCTCTTGCTGCCATTTTGTGCCCACCTACTGACGTGACGCCAGGTTAACACCAAGCAAGTGACTAAAATCAGTCGTATTATCGGTAGATAAATCCACCCACACAGCCTCGTTTACATGATTCTTCTCATTTTCAGTCAGCTTATCAGAGTCTGCTTTTCACCCTGACTGCATAGTTATTGAAGAGTTTTTATCAAAGCAGCACAAACCACAGACAAAACAATTACTCTGGATGACCGATACAACTGTTAGCATCTGAATATATTTAAGCAGGCTAGTAGAAAATGTGCTACTTTCCTCCTGAGTGGCGGAGAAGCAGCAAAAAAGGAAAATGCTGTAAGAAGAACATCAAAGTTCGTGCTCAATAATCCAGGTACATAATCCAACAAAGTCAGGTCCTCTGGATGGTTTCTTTTTTGTTGAGACGATTCGCCTTCCTTAATCCAAAGGACTTCATCAGTCTGAGGAGCCACAACAAACTTAGTCCCACAAGCAGCACACTCGCAAAGTGGACCAACCAGTTTGATGGTGATAAGATGGTTTCTGGGATCCGCACTCTTCCCCATCAACTCCTCGGAGGCAGCAGCCATGGCCAAAGTGGTTCAAAACATCAAAGTTCATGCTCAACAATCCAGGTAAAAAAAAAATCTGTAAGCTGCAAGAAGAAAATTCAGAAGATACCTGAGCCCCTGTTTGTTTTGTTTTTGTAGGGATGTCCCAGTCCAGTATGAAATATTTGATCAAGTTCTATACATCCATCCATTATCTTTGACCCGCTTCTTCCATTTTGGGTCGCAGGGGTCACTGGTGCCCATGTCCAGCTATAACTGTGCGAGGAGCGGGGTACACACTGGACAGGTCCGTTCATCACAGGGCTGATCAAATTCTAAATATAAGCATGTTTCACTATCAGTATCACGGGAGCTGACCACACTGTAGCAGATTTCTGTTGTTGACCCACTGTCGATGATTTGACATCATCCGTCTGTGATACATCTGCTACATCTGATGTAATGTGCCAACATGTCTGCAGCATAAAAGTATTTAAAAATACAAATCGAGAGCAGTTCAGTGCAACATGCAGCTTTTGCACTTAGGTACTTTTGTGCCAGTCGTGATAGAGCTACAGTCGTGAAAAAGTTATCTTTTTATTAAAGAAAGCAAAAACAACAATGGTTCGTTAAATAACTTGGACCTCACAAGAATAACAATAATAAAAAAATAATAATCTGAAAATCAGGCAGCGTTTCCCCTGCCATTATATAAGCAGGGTGCCCCGCCATGTCAACAGAACCGAGCGCCCTGCCTAGCGAACCAAACTGCCCCTCTCCCAGTCAACAATTGCACGATGCGCGCTAGCTAAAAAGCTACAGAGGTAGCGCTCCATGTCCCTCATGCTGAGCCGTCTCCAACCCTGCTCGAAGACTGTCGGTACAAACAACACGCAACACAGACGTGTCTCCGTCTCCACCCAACCCACCACCAGTGAAACTGGCCATGACAAAATCTATGGTATCCCTACACCCCTAGAAAAGACTAAACATAATTTGACCAAAGGGACATGTTGAGCTAAGGTGTATCCTGTAATCAACATCACAGGTGTCTCCAGTCAGGTCGGTCCGTCTCTTATTCATACTTTGTTTTTGTATTTTATACCTTTGTATGAATCTGATGCTTCGATTTGTCCATCACTTTGCTGCTGGTACACCCGAATTACCCCTCTGATGGACAATAAAGTTCATTTCTATTCTATTAGTTTCAAAGCTGAAAAGTAGTCACAGTGCTGTTCACCACACTGAACATGGAGAACAGAAAGCTAAGGACAGAGATGCCTCAAGAGCTTCGAAAGAAATGTATTGTCCAGCACAGTAAAGGCTATAAAACCACCTCCGTGTAGCTTGATGTTCCTGTGACGACAGCTGCACAGACTCTTCAGAAGTTGAAGGTCCACAGGACTGAAGACAGCCTCCCTAGTTGTGGCTTTAAGAGGAAAATGGATGAAAACGTGAAGAGACTGATCTGAAGACTGTTTTCTTTGTCTTTGCAGAAATGCACATGTTGTACACTCCTTAACTTGTCCTACTCAGGTACACATTTTTTTAGTTTGAGTGTGCTATTTTTAATAACTGCACAGTATTTACAGTAACATGTGCTGTAAATTTACCCTTACTGTACAGCAGGGCTATTCAACAAAACATCTCAGGGGGCCACAGTTTCTGAAAGCCAGCAGATCAGGACGATTCTACAAAGTGTGTTGTAGCATTAGTGGGCGATGAACTGAACAAGCTGTTTGAAGGTAGCTCCACAGCTAATAAAGTCTTTTATTATATGAACTGTTTGTGTCAGATCCCTGGTTTAGTTCCTTGACCTAGATTCACAAAAAATATTTATCACAAGACAAGACAACCGTCAGGTGTTGTCCTTTTTTGGTTATGCCAGAATACTTTGCTTCCTTGTTTGAACTAGGTTTGCAAGCTGTAAGAAACCGAAACAAAGCACACAGACGGTGAAGCATGTGGTCCTTTTGTCGAGATAATATTTAGCTGTGAGACGTCGTTTCTACTAAGAGTGAAAAACTAAACAACTGAACTAAACATTTACAGGCCTGCGTTTGAAGAGTTAAAAAAAAAGAAAGAAAACAGCTGTGTTAGATTTTGCTACTTTAAGCTTCTAAATACCATTTTGCTCATTTTAGCTCTAAGCTAGCCTTTTGCTGCTTATAGCTTTTAGTGTTTTGATCCATTCAACTACCCTTTTGCTGCTTTAAAATATTTTTAAACCCATGTTAACTAGACTTAGCTGTTTGCTACTTTTTTAGCTAGTAATTTACTTTACGTTAGCTACTTTTAATTTTTAGCTAACCATTTTTACCTTCTAGACAAAGTTTGGCTTCTTTTACTTTGTGGTTTTTTTTTATGTATTTGCTACTTTGAGTTTTTAGCTAATCTTTAATTTCATTTAGCTTTAGCAAAGCTTAATTTAGTTAGCCTTTTGGCTTTTAACTGTTGTTTGCTGATTTAAGCTAGCAGTTTTATTCAGCTTAGTGTTTTGCTTCTTTTATCTTCTGGTTAGTTTATAGTTGGTGTTCTGCTTATTTTAACTTTAACAACTCTGTTTAAGCTTCTGCAAATTTCATCTCCCATCATTTGCTCTGTATTCTTTACAGAAAATGTTTCTAGTTTAGTTTGTTTGAAATCTGCTGTCACTTTTAATGAAAAGTTTTCCCATTTAGGATACAAAAAGCAGCTTAAACAACAAACGTCTTAGTATCCTCAAATACTCAAAGTATATGTATGTGTTCAGCAGCTTTCCCTGCTGAAAAACAAAAAACAAAAACGAATCTTCAACTGTGATTAGACAAAATCACTGTCAGATTTGCTCTGGCTCCTAAAAATATGTAACAAAATGTGTTCATTATCAATGTTAACTCATTTTATGTTTCAAATATTGAGGAGCAGCTGGCAGCCCTGGACAGGATGTGCAGAGCTTTTAAGGAATCTAGATATTTCTTTAAGAATTTTGAACTTGTGAGGTCAGTTCTTGGTGAAGTTGCCAGAATTTCCGAGCCAAACCCAAACGCCTCAGAGACGCCAAAGCAAGCAAAAGAAACGATGACGTTTGAGTATGGAGGATGGAATGTGACAAAATTCATAAATAAATAAAATCATAATGAGAGTGTGTGACCACCGCCAGTTACAGTTATCTCTCACGCACGCACGCACGCACACAAACCTGGGAGCTGACGTAGAGCTTCAAACAGCCAGAGCACACCGGCCTCCTGCAGCAGGGCAGGCGTGCGATGAGTTTCTCCTCCAGGCACACCTGACAGCACTCCGCCTCGCTGTCCGTATCCGCCTGGTCCCTGTGCTGGCGCTGGGAGACATCCCCCATCAAATCCACCAAGTCGTCCAGCGAGTACAGCTCCAGTTTGGGACTCGGACCCACCACCTGTCCCGTCTCAGAGTCATTCTCTGCCCCGTCGGATGTGACCGAGTCTGTGATTTCAGCGTCCGCTCGTTGAGTGTCGTTGGCGATGCAGTAAACGGTGCAGTACACGTGCTCTTTGGCGCGAACAGACTCGCCTAAAGCCGCCGTGTTGCCTTCACTGTCACGTACATGATGGCACTCGTCTCTAACATGTTCTACTGGAACGTTACATGTCGTTAACTCACTCGGGGTGGGCTCGTTTTCAACCTCGGGTGCTCCCGTTTCCACGTCCGACTTTCGACACTCGCCGCATTCTGCTCCACATCCGCACTTGAGCTCGTTTTTACCGCTTTCTTCGTCCGTTGAGCGTTCGGCTCCGCTCGGCATCCGACTTTTAGTGCTCAAACGGAAAGAAGGGGACTTTGAATCCCCGAAATTTCTCCTCAGAATCTCGACAGCGCTCGCCCTCCGCCTCGCTCTTCCTCCTCCGCCGTTGCAGTTGTTGTTGTTGTTGCCCTCCGCATCCCTCTCCTCCTCGCCGCTCCTCTCCCCGGAGTTCCTGTCGCCTTCGTCGAGCGAGTTGGATCGGATGACACCCCGGTTCAACTCACCAACTTTAACGTCCGCGAAGGAACTTTCCGCCGGCAGGTTGCGGGACAATTTCCCCCTCCCTTCGTCTATGTTGCTAATAATAAAACTCGGCATCCTGAAGGCGTCAGCTATCGGTCCGTCATCTTCCATCCCCGGCTGAGCTCTCCCCATTTAGTGAGCGGCTCTGCCCCGGGAGGACCTCTTGCCTTCTTCTTGCCTGTCTCAACTCCCCAACTCCTACTACCAAAACAAAACAGGCAGTTCGCTGCTTCCGGCCAGTGACGTCAGCAGAAAGCAGAACCGTGATTGGGTGAAGAGAAGCTCTCTTGTCGAGTGCACAGAGATCGTGGATCACAACTACAGCCTCAAAACCCTGCAAAGATTTAATTTATCAGCTCTAGTATAAACACATGGAAACAACTTTCCGTCTCTTTGATTACAAGTATCTTGTAGTCAGCATTATGACACTATCTCAAAATTGTGAATCAGTATTTAATATCAGGTCATCTGGACAGTTTCTTTTTTTGTGCTGAAACGTTTCACCTTCGATCCAGAAGGCTTCATCAGTCAAGGAAACACACAACACAAAACTGATTCTTCCCCCAACTGAACGTTTCACCTTTCACCAGTTTGACACGACTGTCAACAAGGAAGAGGGCCGGTATGACAATCTGACAAAGTATCACTAACCGACACCGGCAATAGAGGACGGGGTATACCAAAGAGACCATCTTAGCACCAACATAACTGGTTTGTTCCACTTTGGAGTAAGCTGTTGGGGGAAGAATCAGTTTTGTGTTGTGCGTTTCCATGACTGATGAAGCCTTCTGGATCGAAGGTGAAACATTTCAGCACAAAAAAAGAAACTGTCCAGATGACCTGACTGAAAAATGTTGGATTGTACCTGGATTATTGAGCATGGACTTTGTTGTTCAGTTTTTAATAATTATGACGTAGCATTTTTCAATCATAAATATGATTTAGTCAGTGGTGGAGAAAGTACTCAAACACTGTACTTAAGTAAAAGTACAAATAAACAGACAGAAATGTACTCTAGTAAAAGTAGAAGTACCACATTAACATTTTTACTTAAGTAAAAGTAAATAAGTACTTGCTTTTAAAATACTTAAAGTATTAAAAGTAAAAGTACTTCCTGAATGTATTACATAATGCAATGGTCTACATATATTTAAGTATGGCTAGCATATGTATATTTTCTGTAATACATTAATAGTGTTGTGTCATTTTAATGAACAATGCTGCAGATAATACATGTTTTTATTGTGTGACACAGTTCACACTTGGACTTGTGATTCTGTGCGTCAGAATTTCAGGTATGACCTGCAGAGTTAAATGTCATTAATCAAAATAAGAAAGAGGAATGATTTTACCTTTGAAAGTTTTTATTTAACACAAAGAAAAACCAAAGTGTCATTTTAACTGCAGTAAACATATTTAAGTAAAAGTTGTCTGCCTGAACAAAAGGAGCATTAGACCTAACAAAGAAATAGGCTCTGATCATTTCCACTGATATTTCAACTCCAGTTTGTCATCATCTCTAGTTAAAATAATGTCTAGTCAACTTGTAATGGGTCAATATTGAACAATATTTTAACTTCCTGACACCATTTTTAAAACTTGGACCTGAGTGTCGAGCCATTTAGAGACATCTCTTGTCTCCTAACATCCCATGAACTGACACATTTTAATATTGCAACAAGAATTTCTTGTTCAAGTTCAGAAGAAGTTGGTTTTCAAAGATTTTTGAGTCCAGTCTGGCTCTTTTGGGAGAGAGAATCTGTTCTGTTGTACTGAGCAGTCTTTCAATAAGGCCATGGGTGGAGCATATCTTCTGGCTGACTCTCTTGCGGTGGAATATATTTTGGGTGTAGTGGTGCTGTGGGTGCACCCAGCTCAGTGACATATATACTAGAATATATGTCAGTGGCCCAGCACTTCTTGAAGGTGGGCCTAACGTTACCTGCCCACTTTGCAGTGATTCAATGGACCAGCTCCCCTCTCACCATTGGTTACTTTCAAAGTAACAAACAAATAAAAAACATGAATGTAACTTGTAATGTAATGCATTATAGAAATGTAGTGTAGTAGAAAGTACAGATACTTGATGTAAATGTAGTTAAGTAAAAGTATAAAGTATCCACATTTAACTCTACTTAAGTAAAGTACAGATACATGAAAAATGTACTTAAGTACAGTAATGAAGTATTTGTACTTAGTTACATCCCGCCACTGGATTTTGTAGTCATTTATGGCCTAATATCTTAAATTTAGGACTTAGTATCTTAAAGATATAACTATAAAGTTATTATGAGGTAATTATTATGACTTACTATGACCATAATCAATCAATCAATCAATCAATCAATCAACCTTTATTTAGACAGGTAAATCCCATTGAGCCTCGAGGACTCATTTACAAGAGAGACCTGATTTCAACAAAGAGTGATGACAACAATGGACAACAGCAACAACAATAAACAGTTATAAAAAGTCATACTGCAGGTTTTTTTTTTTTTTTTTTTTTTTTAACAAATAGGATGGCTAAAAGGAAAAGGTAACAAAAAAAAAAACCCCAGCTAGATTCTAAGGCAAATGTAGTAATAATAATAATAATAATAATAATAATAATAATAATAATAATAATAATAATAATAATAATAACAATATAATAATAATGATGAAATATCTAAAATTTTGAACTTGGCATCTAACAAATATTAGATGCTATATCAATATTGTGGTTTATTAGGATCTGAGATGCTAAGCTAATATTTTTCAAGATGATATTTCATAATCTTGATTTAAAGGATCGTTGTTTTTCTCCATAGTCAGGGGTATGGGTTATTAACTTGATACTAGAAAGAAAAAGGAAAAATGCACACATTAGTAAACAAGACAAACATTTGATATTTGGCCAGTGTATGTTTTTTTCTTCAATCAGTTGGATATCAATAAGTGCATGTTTTAATGAAAGAGCAGTGTCCTTTTAAAATTATTCACAAAATACAGTGTTGGACAAAAACGATTTCAATTTCCCCTTTTGTCATCCTTCAACTCCATTTGTTGGGAGTATAATGAACCAATTTTTATGCAACTTCCATAAAGTAACCATTGGGTCCACATCTACAACTGACTGCCTTTGAGAGTAATTGAACATGGCCACCACAGCTAAGTGACATTCACCCCCACAAAGTGGCTATAACTCAGCTAATTTCACAACTATCAAGCTAAAGTTTGAAGTGGAAGTAGCTAGGATGACTTTTATGAAACATTCTGTCAAACTGGGAGATATTTATTCCTTCAACGACTGCTAGGACTTTAATTTAAGGTCAGATTTAAGTTGTTTCAACAACAGTCTTGGGAAATGGTCTGTACGGGACCAAAACCGAGAAATAAAACAGTCACAGTTGGTCATAGCCAATAAAAACCTTAAGGTAAATTTCATGAGGTTTGGCTGCTAGGAAGCAAATTATAGAAGAAATGCAGAAAAACTTAAAGCTTTGTAAGACTGATCAAGAAGAATCATCAAGGAGTGCAATGCCATTCCATTTCTGAAAACCTTTTTCTCACAACATATAAAAAATGCTGCTCAGTTTCTGATTCTGTGTTTAGGAAAATCTGCAGTGTTTACATTTCTGACTTGAGACAGTCTTATCAGTAAGACCCTGAGTGTCCAGGGCTCACGATGAGGGGAGGTCAGCCTGACTCTTTAACTTTTACTATGATGCCAAAATATTTCAAACGTACCCACCGAGTTAACACAGCCATCGTCAAATCACACACTTTACTTTTTCATGCAGGAACACAACTTGCAATATTTGAAAGTGTTAATGATAAATACATTTTAGCAAGTATAAAAAGCACACACAAAAAAAAGCTTAATTCAAACTAATTTTACTGGCTACCTTTGACGTGCAATTAAAATGATTAATAAGCTTGAACAAAAGAAAACTGCCACTTTGGAGGCAGCTGTTTTATCATTTTAATAAGAAAACTATTTGGTTTACATTTTGTGTTCAGGGAAAAATTCTTTGCATAGAATATTCATATTATAAGGGGGATTAAAACCAAATCTGCAATCTTACAATATTATGTACTGTAATTTCCAGACTATTGAGCGCACCGAATATAAGCCACGCCCACTAAATAAAAAAATTAATATAAATGTATACATATATAGGCCGCGCTTGTGTATAAGCCGTGGGTGTCCACATAGTAACATGAGATATTTACACAGAAAGATTTTTTAAAACTTTTATTTATATATTTACCGGTATCATACACAAATTTGTACAGTAATTTTTTTTTTGGAACTGTGTCTGTAACACAGACAGTTAAAAAAGAAGAAAATACAGCCTACCAGGAAGTCATTGATTGCTACCTTCAACAAAGATCCCTCCCCACTGTGACCTGTTTGGTCATTTCATTGGTCAGATTTTTTTAACCTTTATTTATACAGGTAGTCTCATTGAGTCATGAGGACCAACCCCCCAAGAGAGACATGTATTGGGCAGCTATGTAGGTGCCCGGGTGTGACGAGGCTAAATGTTTTGGTGGCATGAAGCTCGTTAGCCTGTGTCATAAAAACATAAATTAACTGCAACATTGTATAAGCTGCGGTGTTCAAAGCCTGTGAAAAAAGTAGCGACTTATAGACTGGAAATTACGGTACATATACACCGTATGCTTCTACTGATTATTGTGTATATGCACATGGTCACTGTAGTTGCAGAATGTTTGCATCTATGTTTTATTGCAGCTTCTTTTTTATTTGTTATGACACAAGGCAGCAAAAACCCTTAAACTTTAAGAACAAGTAATCGTGTCTTAGAAGCATTTGCAGCACAAATGTTGCAGATCAACTCCTCTTTGTTGCATCCCTGTCATAAAATCTCTTCTGAACTTAAGCATTTCTCTGATTTCATCAGTCAAACTCTGGAACAGCAGTCTGAATCTGCATGGACACGTTCTTATTGTGGCACTGTTGGTTCATGAAACAAATCCTCTGGGCTACCTGTAAAACGGGTCGTTAGCTTTATCAACGCCACAGGGTTAATTAGCTACATGCTAATTAAGTTTGTTGTTTTTGTCCTGGCTGTGTCAAATTGGTTTTTTAACAGAGACTGCCAACAAAGTTTAAAAAGATATGGAAGCGTAAGCGGCCTCTGACCCAAACTGAAATATTAATTTTCTTTTA